GTAACTTTAATTTACAGGTTATAATTTTAATTTCGAGATAGTCCTTAAGCTGTGACTACAGTTCGGGCTGGAGTCTTGGTTGTTGAACAAAGCAGTCATTAAATGAGATGTCATGTGGCCACTTTGCTCAGTGACCACAATCACAGGATTCCCAGTTGTGAGCAGTCTCATGGGTCTAAGTGGATGAAATCTATTGTAAGGAACACAGGGATGCCTTGGCATTGGGAGGTCCTGTGCATATTATAGAGCTCACTGGCACACGGAAACCTGCCATGCCCAGGAGGCCTTGACCTGTTCTCTACCCCACTGTACCTGAGAGGTCTGAAAATACTTTTTTTTTTTTTCAAATTAAATGCTATCAAATCAAATCCCCGGGTTAAGTAAAAGCAAACTAACTTGGTGGTAGAAAAGCATAAGATAGAATAGATTTAACAAAAGAAAGAATGTGATAATCTTACAGAAAAGGTTTTCTCACTTGTTTCCACCAGCTTTTCTCATTTTATGATGGGAAGTAAGGAAAATTGTTCATTATAGGGATTCAGTATAATAGTTATATTGATGATCTTTAAGGCATCTTGTTCCCAGATCATTTAAGCAATTAAAGGTCATAATCATATAAACACATACTATATTTAGTAATAAAGTATCTGCAATAAAAGTGGCAGAGAAGAGTAAATGCATGGTTTTTTTAAAAAAAAACCCCAATATTCTAATTATAAATGTGGTTCTTCCATAAGCTCAAAGCCCACCTCAGGTTTTGTACACTGTTTTGAAGGTAGCTAGGACCAAGATCAAGTCTTAGAAGATATAATGAGTGAGAGGAAAGCCTTAAGACTTTGTGCAGCTTGAAGCACTAATTTTGCTCCTTAACCCCCTTCAAAATGGAAAAAAAATGCAAGTGAACTTTTAACTTTACCAACTCTGGGGTTCTACAGGAATGATTCTGGTATCTTGAACTTTTTCACTTTTACCCTTAAGTATCTGCATCAAGGTCCAGATCTTACTGCTTTTGGGGGCAGGGGGGAAGAAATGGGAAATCTACCGTACTGATGGATTGTCAGTTGGATGCTGCAAGTCAGTAGTAACTGAAAGGCAAAATTACATGCAAGTACAAGCCACTTTAGTGATTAAATTGTTGGACTAGAAATTAGAATCATGAGAAACTAAAATCAAACTAGAACCATAATTAAGTAACGCAAGCCTACATGGTAACAATTTGTACATATAAAAGCATGTAAATAACTGTTTTCGTGGTTTTTAAAAACTATTTGTGCTTTAGGAAAAAAAGATATGCCCTTTTTATTTATAGTAAATTTCAAGTAGACACTTCAATATATTGCAGGCATTTGATATATTCTATTTTGGCACAGGCATAAAGCAGATAGAAATACATGAGATTCTGAATGATATGCTAGGGCTATTAATTTATTTATAATTTTTAAATTTATTTAATTATAAAACTGTAATCTCTTCCCCATGGAATAGGAGTTCAAAGGTTTCTCACAGAGAATTTTTCAGATGAAAATAATTTGTTTTAGTGATTTATAAACTGTATTTAGAGGTGAGTGAGCCTGGAAGAAATCTGCGTTTATATACTTTTTATATCCACTTTTTCTGCAAATAATGATTTTCAGTTCCTGATCTTAAGAATATTGAAGCAGTATATCTTGTTTCAGTGTTTGAATGGTTAAACTCAGAAGTGCAAGAATTTGCAGAATTTATTTATAGTTTTTAACTTTAAATAATCTTTTCATTGCATGATAGTTGTTTAGCTCTTCATTTTTTAAATTTTCCCTATTGGAATGAATGCCTTTCCTCTGCTCATTCATGTAATGAAATAAATGCTAAGAATATTTATTGATTGTAAAATGAATTACTATATCATTGCACTGATGCTGAATCATCCACTGTAGCAGAATTGAGCACAACAATGTAGAAATAAGAGATTGTATTTGCCTCAAAGAAAGATGCCTCTGAACTTAAGAAGATCTAAAAAAAATAAAGCTAGAAGAAAAAAAATAGGCAATGACAACAATCCTATGCAGTGCCAATTTTTTTTTATGTTGGCAACTTAATGTTTCAAATTCTGAATGAAACTATTCTAAAGATGTCCAGTGCATAAATTGGTACATGCTTGTATGTGTGTACAGTATGAATATTGTATATGTATGATGTTTGCAAATCATGTCTGCCATGGGCAACATTATGAAAGAAGATGGAGCTAGGACTAAAAATAAATACATACTAATGAATTAATAAGTACAAATTGAAATGTTAATAGGATAAGATGTCCCATTGCTGTTCATTTGCAAATATCAAGCATTCTTATACACTGAAACACTAGACTCACAAATACATTGTTTCTTTTGAGCAGAAATATAAAAAAATAAAAATAAAAATGAGATGAATAATGGAAAAAATAGATGAAACAATGGAAAGTAGGAAACAAAACTGGATGGAGAAAACAGGAAAAAAAATGAATTAAGTCACTTTTCCTTAATGGAAAACTTTTAAAAGAGATGTATATGAAGTATTTCTCTTCAAAGCTTTAAAGAATTATTTATTTGCAAAGCTTATATATGCATGCATGCACCACTTCTTGGTGGTCTCTTGGGAAACATCTATGTGTGAATGTTTGAACAGCCACACAAGCCTGGCAAAGAATATACTATTTCAGTGGTTTGAAAAGTGGGGCTTCATCTTCTGTAATCTGCTTCGTGAAGCTCATCTCTCAATCGCTTTGCATAGACTTACTATTGAGGACTTATCTTATTTCAAGCTTTCAAATAGTCCTTTCCAGACAACTAAAGAATTTCAGGCTCTTCTCCAGGATTTTCATGCTTTGCAACATCGATATCAAGAGGCATTTCCATTTCACCTTCTCCCTTTACATGCAGATTGTTTGTGAAAACAATATAGTACTTTAAGTAGATGTTAATATGTTTCAGAAATGATGTTCATATTGCTGTTCTTCTTTTGACGTGGTTATGGCATTCATTTACTATGGTATAGATAGATAGACTCAGTTCAGTTGTGTTTACTGTTTCTTAATGAAATTCAAGAAGGAATTATAAATTCTCAGATAGCTTCTGTTGTGCTATATTCAACTGTCCAACATTTCCTCAAAACACATGAAAATGGGATTTCATTTTTTTAAATTTAAGTGCTGTTAAAAAGTAAGAGATAGTATATATGCTTTTAGTATATAGGATGTAACTTAGATTGAATTGTAAGTCAACAACTGTTTCATGGAAAAACACGTACAGGACACAACCTGCAAGTTGTGCCAAGTTAGATTGGTAATACTATTTTTAGGCATGTGCTTTACAATCATTTTGACTTAGAAAGACTTTTAAATCATAGAGATTCATCTCAAATATCTTAGGTTATTTGATAAATTGTGTAATTTAACCATGCCCACTTGTTAACATCTCCCTCTAAATTTCTTTGAGAATGAAATTTAAAATTCGTTTTAAAATTATCATTAGTATCCTTTGTGAATGGAAACATGCCTTGTAATTTAAAGAAAATATCAATCATAAATTCTCATAATGAATAGGCTTTTTAGTAAGATGAAGAAATTAACTTTGAATGATAGAGCAGCTAGGGCCCAGCATTTCTCAGGGTACAGATATTGGTTATGTCAGTAATCAAAGGCTTGGCTTCAGGGCCATGAAGGTCTGGTCAAAGTATCCATTTTAATGTGGGAAAAGCAAGAGGAAGAAGAAATAGATTTAAATTAACAGAGCAATCAGCTATTCAGTATGACTTTGTTCTAATTTGCAGTAAATGTTCTTATATAACCATTCAGCATAGAAGTTTTTAGAGTCAGGTTTGAATCCTAGTATCACATATAAAAGGTATAAAATTTGGAAACAGAGTTACAGAGATTGTATTGGGAAGCAAAGCAAATCATTCCATTTTGGGTCATGTGGCATGATCCCAGGAGTGATTGCAATTCAGTATGGATGCTTGGAAAATGGCAGCCACTTCTGGGATTACACCACACAGTCCAACAATTGAACAGCCTATTCTTCTTCCCTAACCGAAGCTCTGAAAATCTTTGAAAGGTTGTTGCGTGATGAATGACACAGGATGAGGAGAAGAGTGTGGAGCCTGATAAGGTGGGAAGCCAGTCCAAGGCCAGCAGGGAGCTGATAAAAGATTAGGGGGGAAGATAGGTAGGGGCGCTGCAGCATTCCTATAGTCAGGTGTAAAGAAAAATGATCACAGATACTACAATCATAACTTTGGGATTGGTTCTAAGTAGCTTTTAGTGAGTCCACTGTAATTTTGAATGGTTGCTAAACAATCCGTTATAAGTTAAGGATTTACCTGTATTATTTCTTGCTGCTAATTGTGACCATCATAAAGAGATTAAATGGTATGTATTGATTACATAAGCATATTACAGTAGTTTATCTTTACATTTTCGTCTTAAAATGATAGGGCTTCTTTTCAAAGAATTTTTCTTTATTTCTGTATGATACATTATCTCATATTCTCTAGTCAAATTGTGTTGGTAATTCATTTTAATTCCTATATCAATAATTATTTCATACATTTAATAAAATGTTTAGATGGCATTGCGGATAAATATTTGGGGCATTGGCCTATTGACCTAAAATAAATACTGTCAATAAAATTTAAGAGAATATAAATATTACGGCAGAAAAGCTTAAAAATATAAGGATTTTTTTAAAAACAAGGTAGGAACAGTTGATAAGGCAAAATTCAGAACATAGTTTTACTAAAATAATTAAAATGCAGGGGATAATTCTGTTAAACTGCATGGTATACAAAATGTTTAGATTGTTTAGAAAACAAATTTTGCAAAATAAATGTGTGGTTCCTAAAATGTGTATTTAGTTTTGAAAATAAATTATGAAATACTATTCACCACTGTGAACAATCTCAGGAAATTGTTGAAAAAATGTTTTCAAGCTATAGGCACATGTATATCATAAAAGTAATAACGTGATACTTTTTCTTTGTTTCAGATTTAGGCTCTTGGATTTAAGACAATACTGTGAGAAACTATCTGAGATTATATATAAGCATGGGGACTCCTGGCTCAGGAAGGAAAAGAACTCCAATGAAAGACAGATTTTCTGCAGAAGATGAAGCCCTAGGTCATATTGCTAGAGAGGTTGGTAAATTTGTTCAAACCTAAGTGTATAATGTGGGAATCGGTATGTTATTACAGTATAGGTAATTATTCTTACTTGAATTAAGTTCAAGAACTTATGCAATAGTATATTCAGAAAACATACTGTAACCTTTATTGGCTTGCTAAGTAATTCAAACATAGAAATCTTTGCTCTCCTAATGATGTGACTGTGGACTGCTCATCTAGTGCAAAGTTTCAAGTAGCTATTGTATGAGACATTTAGCAAATCTGCACAATGGTATCTACTAGTTAGAGTTAAACAAAGAAAGAACTTATGGCTTATTAGTGGAATAACTAATCCGTGTGTGTGTGTGTATGAGCAACTAAGTATGAGACTAGTGTTATGCAAAGAAATGTAAAACACCTTTCTTTCTTATTTAATTATTAGTTTGTTTATTTATTTATTTATAAAATTTATTTGCTGCCCATCTTACCATAGGGCAGACAGCCCGCGAAGTGGTTTCATGTGGCCCGCGAAGCCATCCTGGAAACAGTGAGGGAATGCCCCCGCTGCCATGGCCCTGGCTGGCCGGGAGCCAATGTACAATTTTGTGGTGGCCATCTATGCTGAAACACATTCAGTCATAGTTCCATAAGCCAATGGGCCAATTCCAGAGGGGTGAGATGACCCTCAAGTAACCTGGAGCCATGGCATGAAGTGCTCTAAAGGTGATCACCAACCCCTTGAATTGCACCCAGAAGCAGATGGTAACCAATGCAGCTCATGGAGCAGTGGTGTTACAGGGACCATTCTTGGGAGACCCAAAATTACCCACTGCTACATTCTGCACCAACTGTAGCATCTGATTGCTCTTCAAGGGTAATTCCATGTAGAGTGCATTACAGTAGTCCAGTCATGAAATGACTAGGGACTGAATAACTGAGTGCAGGGAATCCTGATCCAAGAAAAGCCATAACTGGCACACAACATGAAGTTGTGCGAAGGCTCTCGTAGCCACAATTGTCACCTGTTCTTCGAACAAGAATCATGAGTCCAGAAGAAGCCCCAAGTTGCATACTGGGACAGCGCCATCCTACGCAGAGTCAAAGATGACAAAGTCCCACATCCTGGAGCCCTGTGGATTCAAAGCCATTCGGTCTTACCAGGGTTCAGTTGAAGCCTGTTGTTCCTCATCCAGGCCCCTAAAAACTCCAGGCACTGTGAAAGGGCAGTCACAGCATCACTTGGATCACCAAAAATGGAAATATAGAGTTGGGTGTCATCAGCATGCAGTATATACAATATGATGTCAATTTCTTAACAGTTAATGTTATCATCATCTATCTTTACCACAAAATCTAAGCCTATTATTGAAAGATAGATAGATATTTTGTATTGTTATTTTAAGATTTTTCATTCTTCTTGTCTTCCTCCCTTTTAATATTAACTTTTTTTCTATAATCCGAAAATAGTTGTGGAAAAGTTGATTTTGTACTGCATTTTGGTGATGTTGGATTTTTTAATTACATCTAAGTATTTTCAATATAACAGGCAGAGGCACGCCTTGCAGCCAAACGTGCAGCCCGAGCAGAAGCAAGGGATATACGCATGAGGGAATTGGAACGCCAACAAAAAGAGGTATGTACCATCAGAAAAAAATATTACTATCTTAAATTAACAGACTTCTTTTTTTGTAAAGCAATATAGAAAGCATTTAAAAGAAAATATTATTACTAGATATATTCTTCAACCTTTGGCTATAATGGAGCCTGCCCTCGCAAATGGGGATGATCATTAAGTGAGACAGCTTCACTTGACAACCCCCATCCCTAATCTCCCTGATGGCTTGTTATAAACAAACACACATGGATTGTTAAACAGAATATGGCATGTCTCATGACTGCAGGAGGCCCTGGGAAGCCTATTACCCAGCTGGGTCTATATAAGAAGCAGACAAGCAGCAAAAAGCTTTGCATACCCTAAAACAGGTAAGTGGGGGGAAGACCCCAACTAGATTGGGTCCAGCATCAAGTTCTAGTGCCAGACAGACTTCTAAACAAGCCTCTGTGCATGGCTGATGAACCACACTTTTGGACTGGGCCTATGTCCTGCTCATCTGGCGATTGGGAGACTGCAAACAGCCAGCTGCAGCAGGAGCTTGGTCCCAAAAGGAGTCAGACAAGCAGCAAAAAGGTTTCCAAAGAAGGCTTCCAGGTTTTTTGCTGCTTGTCTGACTTCCTTTAGCACCTAGCTAGGATTTCTCTAAAGGGAGTCAGATAAACAGCAAAAGATTTCGCAAGAACCATGTTCTGCCATAACTGGCCATTTGTAGCATGTGTTGTGCTGTAACTGGCTGAAGTTTTTGAGCTGAACTTTTTCTTCAGCTCCTTAATGCAAACAAGCTGCAGAAAGATTTTCCTTCCTTCCTTCCTTCCTTCCTTCCTTCCTTCCTTCCTTCCTTCCTTCCTTCCTTCCTTCCTTCCTTCCTTCCTTCCTTCCTTCCTTCCTTCCTTCCTTCCTTCCTTCCTTCCTTCTACTCTTCAGCCTGGCAGTCACTCATCAAGGTAAGTAACTTACAGATTTTGTCACCCTGTTTCAGGTATGCAGTAAATTTAACAGATGGGGTGATTAAAAGGATAGAAATCAGAAGGGAATAGTGGAGAGCTTTAAGCACCTAATGGGGGGTAGGAGATAAAGAATAACAAGTTTCCCCAACTTTTTTTTCCTGTTTTCTTTATTGAAAACGGGTATGTGTGTGTGTGTGTTAAGGGTGTAAGCAAAAAAAAGGGTTTGGGAAGTTCCTCCTGAAGCTGCTGTTTTTACATGGTGGCAGCTGGCTTTTCCAAAGTCTTGCAAGGATTGGGAGAGGTCTGCAATCTCCTGACAGCCAGCTGATCAGGGCAGGAAGTTATGAAAGCAGCTGCCATTTTTGCAAGGAATTGTTGGCATGCTGAAAATGGCAGCTGTTTTTAGGAGGCATAGAGAGCAGGCTCAAGCACTGTGGGGTCCCACTGAAGTTGAGTGGGAGGGGAGAGAGGCGGGAGGGTGCTGCAGCATCCTTGTAGTCATAAATAAGGGTGAATGATTATGGAGGGGCTGCAGCAGCGGTAACTTCAAAACAAGGTCATATGTAGCTTTTAGGGGGCATGTTGTAATTTCAAATGGCCATTAAGTGAGCAGTTGTATCTCAAGAACTATCTGTATAGATATATTTATAGTATATTGAATATGTTACTCTGTAGCAGAGATGTGCAGTGTTTTCAGTGTATATGTTACGTAAGATGCCATATATACTATTAGGTGAATGCCTGTTTGTGGATAGACATATACATGACATCCCCATTGTGTGATAGAAGAGGACAAAGAGGATGTTTGTACTACAATAATTCTAAGTTGCTATAATAGCTATAAGATTGCAATACCATAGAAGGAAACTCTTTATGCTAGAGAAATCAAGAGAAGCAAAGACAATCTATGCAAGAAGCTACTGGGAATCATGCAGAGTATAGGTTGCCTCTCATGATTTAGAACAGTGGTTCCCAACCTTTTCTATACCCCGCAACCCTAGAACGCTTCTGATATATTCTCACACCCCTTACAAAAGTTTGAAATAATGGCAATGAATTATGTATATACACTATAATTTTTAAAACCCAAGTTTTCACACCCCTGGAATATCGTCTAACACCCCCAGGGGGTGTTGGGAATCTCTGATTTAGAATAATATTTCTGTATTGTAAAAATAATTTATTGTATTTGTGCAATAAGTATTCAGAATCTGGGATAATACATGAGGATGTGTGGTAGTTTTAACAATGGTTTCATTATTACTAATGTATTGGTATTGGAATTTCTGATCAGCTATAGCTTATTTTGTCCTTGCAGTATTGAATTTAAATAATCTTTAAATTGCTAGATGAATTCCAGACAGTATTGCAAAATAACCTGTATTTTGTATGCAAAATTATGAAAGATGACATCTATTGTTACTAAAGTACTACCTTTTTAAAATAAAACTTTCTACATTTTTGTAGCTTTCTCAGCGTTCTTATGATAGAAAATGGGGACATATCCAGAAGTGGATGGTAGGCCAGGATTGCGTGTTTTGTGTGCTTTTGTCTTAGAAAACTAATCTGATTGCGGTGTTTATTTCCTAATATTTTAGTATATAAAATTTCATTAAAAATAATGTGTCTTGGTGAAAACATTTAAAATGCATAAATATATGAAAAATACATAAACATGCACATTAATACAAATATGGTTATAGAAGAATCATCATAATTTGCCTAATCTCCTGTTTAAATTTTAGAATTTTAAGCGCATATACTAGAGAAATGCATTGCCAAAACTATTATTTAGAGTTGTTGGATCATGTCCAAAATTGTATATATTGTTTCAGTATGGGATAAATGGAGGCCAAAAAGAAGTGACTTTACCATACAACTTTCTTATGTAAACTTAAGACAAAATAAGCCTGATTTTCTGTGGCTACTCTTTATTTAGAGAACGATTTGGAACATTACAACAATTTCCCAGTATTATATGTAAGTTAAATTATGTTGTATGTTAATAAGAGCCTTCTAAGATGTCAAAAGGCCCAAAGTAAAGACTTATTTTGTGTGATCTAATAATTGGATCAATGTGATTCTTTACCAAAAAGTCATATATAACTATATGTCATCTATATCCTTTATAATTTCACTCTGAATTTTAATGATAAATGTATTTAATTTTATCATCATTTATTTTCATGTTTATATTATTATCTTTAATTATTTAAAAGTAATACTCCTTAGGAGTCACACATTGGTAAAATAAATATTCTAAATTATAAAATATCTGACATTTATAATTAATATATCATATTATATTGGATAAAATACATTGTTTATACTATATGATGCAAATAATAGCAATGGTTTTCTAATACTATTTTGTTTTTAGTTTTCTAATTTTGTTGTGTCACAGTTCTAACATAACTGTTGAGTATTTTATTACCATTTATGTAGCAAGTACATGAGATAGCTGTAATCGGGTAGGCAGATTGCAGCCTTCTGAATCTATTGTGATTATGATGACTGAAAAATTAAAACTTCTTCTAAATAGGAAACATATGTATAATGTCTGAAATACTTCACAGTTTAAAAAAACAACAACTTTCCAATAGGTCTATAGCCTATTTAGTGAAAAGTTGTTTATCTCTGATTGACTCAAATCCAGCATCTTTTAATCTAAAAACTAGACATAAGTACTATACTCATTTCTTTAATTATAATTTTAAGAGAAAAAAGACAAATAATTTTATGCTTGAAAATTGCTATCCAAGGCGTATATAGAGAAATGCATTGCCAAAACCATTATTTATATTTAAATAAAATTATATTTAGATAATGTTTTCCATATATATATATATATATATATATATATAAATATATGTAGGTCTTTGGTTGTTCGGGTTTTCTCCCACGTAAAATTGGAAGTGTCTTGGCGACGTTTCGACGAAGTCCCATTCGTCATCTTCAGGCTGGTGCTTTCAGCTTCGTGCCTCGAGCTGCAGTGTGTGGTCTTGGCTGTTTCTTCCTTTTAACTGCCAGTGGAGGTATGAACTGATTGGGTGGGAGCTTGGCTGTGTTCTGATTGGGTGGAGGTGTGTTTTGATTGGTTAGGGGCTTGGCTGTGCTCTGATTGGCTGGGGGGTTGGCTGTGCTCTGATTGGCTGTTGCTCTGATTGGCTGGGGGAGTGTTCTGTTTGGTTGTGCTCAGGTTAGTCTGAGTTGCAGAGGGATTCAAGATTTTGGGCTGCCCTGCCATTCCTTGGCTTCGCGTTCGTGGTCGTGCTTCCTCTTCATGGAGGGTGTCAGTTTGCTTCATGTATGGATTGGGGGGGTTTAAAGTGGCTAATGATGCAGCTGTGGTCTGGCTTCTGGTTTGTGGTCGTGCCTCATAGTCAGTGTGGCTTTGGGTTTGTTTTTTGCGTGGATGTTTGGTGGTGACATCCTGTGTGGTTTTTGTGAGTGTGGGTCTGGTATCATTTTTTGTGTTAGGGAGTCGTTTGTCAATGAGGGCGGGTTTCCAAATGGCTGGTAGGCGGGAGGTATCATCTCGCTTGTTCATGCTGTGTGGGCGTTTTTCTATCTCGATGGCTTCTCTGATTATTCTGTTATTAAAATGTTCACTTTTGGCAATGGTTCTGGTATTTTTAAAGTCAATTTCATGTCCTGTGGCTTTAAGGTGTTGGACCAGGGAAGATGTTGGTTCCTCTTTTTTGACTGAGTTCTTATGTTCTTCAATGCGTGCACTTATTCTTCTGTTGGTTTGTCCGATGTATGTGGTGGGACAAGTGGTGCATGGGATTTCGTATACTCCTTGATTTTCTAATTCAATTTTATCTTTGGGGTTTCTAAGGATGGTGGATATTTTTCTGTTTGTGCAAATATTGAACCTCTACGGGGAGGAAATCCACCATCTGACCAGGACCTATGAAAAACTTGAAGTCCAAAGAGCTTCCATTTTATGCGACCTCGCATTCCTACGCAACTACCGAGATCAAAATCTAATCCCCACATGTTTCCAACTGAAATTCCACTCCAACTCTGCAGCCACCAAACGGATCCTGAAAAGAACAGAATTGGCCCTAATCAGAAATGAACTTCACACAAAAAGATTCCTCCTAGACCGAATTAACAAAGATCTCCTCACACTCCACCTCAAACTCAGCAACAAGATCCACCCCGCACTTTGGGACAAATCCAAACAACTTGCCGTCTGGAGAGCCGAAACACAGACCACCTTCAAGACAGATACACACACCAACAAACTCCGAAGACTACAAGAACGCCAGAAACAAACCCCTCCTCCCTCACAGCCACACATGAAGCAAACAGTGCATAACATCTCAGATAGGATCCTCACCAAAGCCGAAACCAATGTCCTTTCCAAAGGATTCAACTTTGCAGTCGCTCCCAAACACATCCCCACTGAAACCATTATATGTGGAGTTGAAACCAGCCTGACTAAAATCAACCCCGACGACGCCAACAGAATCAGACTCGAAATCACCAACATCCTCTGCACCAGCAAGCCACCCAAAAGCAACTTACCCAAAGAGGAACAGACAGCACTACGTAACCTTAAAGAAGACACCAGCATAATAATCCTACCAGCAGACAAGGGCAACGCCACGGTGGTTATGAACACATCTGACTACCAAACCAAATTAACCAACCTACTCCAAGACTCCACATACAAACCCCTAAATACAGATCCCACCACCTACCTGGAAAAAACCACCAGATCCAAAATAAAAGCCTCCCCCATTAGCGAAGAGATCCAGCAAAGAATCATTCCCAGAGAGAAATCATCCAGATGCCCCAAACTCTATGGTCTCCCCAAGATACACAAGGAAGGAACCCCACTCAGACCTATAGTCAGCTCCATAGGCTCACCTCTACAAAACCTAGCCAAATTTCTCGCCAAACAACTACAGCCCTATGCAGAATCCATCACCTCACACGTAAAAAACTCATTCCAGTTTATAGAGATCATAAAGAAACAAAACTTACAGCCCAGCGACCTACTAGTGAGCTTCGATGTCATATCCCTCTTCACCCAAGTGCCTATCAAAGAAGCCTTGACAGCTATTCAAAACAAATATAACCCCCCAAACACATCTTAGATCTGACCAACCACTGCCTATCCAACACATACTTCATCTATAATGGACAAAAATACAAACAAACAGAAGGAGCACCCATGGGATCACCCCTCTCACCTGTCATTGCCAACCTCTACATGGAACACTTTGAAACCCAAGCTCTAGAAAAATCGGATCACAAACCCAAACTCTGGCTCAGATACGTAGACGACACCTTCATAATCTGGCCACATGGGAAAGAAAAACTGGACAACTTCCTCACACACCTCAACAGCCTACACCCCAAAATACAGTTCACCATGGAAACAGAAGCTAACAACCAACTTCCCTTCCTGGATGTCTTAGTCTACAAGAAATCCAATGGCTCCCTAGGACACACCATCTACCAGAAGAAAACACACACAAACCGCTATCTGCACGCTCTCTCACACCACCACCCAGCACAGATCAACTCTGTAGCCAAGACACTCATCTCCAGAACAAAACGCTTAGCTGACGAACAACACCTAAAACCCGAACTACACACTCTCACCAATGTACTAACATCCAATGGATTCCATAGAAATAAGATTACAAACCTAATCCAAAAAGAAACCCCCACTAAAATCCAAGACAAAGAACAAGAAAACGGCAAAGCCATCCTCCCATACATAAAAGGCACCACAGACAGAATCAGTAAGATCCTCCATAAACACAACATCAAAACAGCATTCTGCACAAACAGAAAAATATCCACCATCCTTAGAAACCCCAAAGATAAAATTGAATTAGAAAATCAAGGAGTATACGAAATCCCATGCACCACTTGTCCCACCACATACATCGGACAAACCAACAGAAGAATAAGTGCACGCATTGAAGAACATAAGAACTCAGTCAAAAAAGAGGAACCAACATCTTCCCTGGTCCAACACCTTAAAGCCACAGGACATGAAATTGACTTTAAAAATACCAGAACCATTGCCAAAAGTGAACATTTTAATAACAGAATAATCAGAGAAGCCATCGAGATAGAAAAACGCCCACACAGCATGAACAAGCGAGATGATACCTCCCGCCTACCAGCCATTTGGAAACCCGCCCTTATTGACAAACGACTCCCTAACACAAAAAATGATACCAGACCCACACTCACAAAAACCACACAGGATGTCACCACCAACATCCACGCAAAAAACAAACCCAAAGCCACACTGACTATGAGGCACGACCACAAACCAGAAGCCAGACCACAGCTGCATCATTAGCCACTTTAAACCCCCCCAATCCATACATGAAGCAAACTGACACCCTCCATGAAGAGGAAGCACGACCACGAACACGAAGCCAAGGAATGGCAGGGCAGCCCAAAATCTTGAATCCCTCTGCAACTCAGACTAACCTGAGCACAACCAAACAGAACACTCCCCCAGCCAATCAGAGCACAGCCAATCAGAGCACAGCCAACCCCCCAGCCAATCAGAGCACAGCCAAGCCCCTAACCAATCAGAACACACCTCCACCCAATCAGAACACAGCCAAGCTCCCACCCAATCAGTTCATACCTCCACTGGCAGTTAAAAGGAAGAAACAGCCAAGACCACACACTGCTGCTCGAGGCACGAAGCTGAAAGCACCAGCCTGAAGATGACGAATGGGACTTCGTCGAAACGTCGCCAAGACACTTCCAATTTTACGTGGGAGAAAACCCGAACAACCAAAGACCTACATACAAATACCCGCGAAAACCTCAGAAAACATATATATATATATATATATATATATATATATATATATATATATATATATATATATATATATATGGAAAACATTATCTAAACATTATCTAAATATAATTTTATTTAAATATAAATAATGGTTTTGGCAATGCATTTCTCTATATACGCCTTGGATAGCAATATATATATATTCCTTCTGATGCTTTAAAAAATACAGTTCAATAACAATTTAGGAAGATCTCTACAGGTTATACCCAAAACTTTCATGGGCTGAAAATTATATGCTTCTAATCTATTTTATTATAGAGCTAGTTATATATTTAGTGTAGACGTTTTAAAATGTCAATTTTCATGTTAATTATTGTGCTATTCCTCTGAATATAGCTATCAAACTTTGTAATCCATGTATGTTTTCATAAGGCACTTATCTGTATCTATATAATGTAATATTTATTTTGTTTACTTCTAGTTGTCAAATATTTTCATCTGTTTGTATAACTCCGCATAATACTTCATCAGAAGAACAGATTAGATTGGTTAATTTAATGCTTTAATTAAAATAAAAAATTTTGATTAATCAAATAGAATTTTTGCAGATACATTACTACTACAAGGGCTAATAAAAAGCTAAAAAAACATTTTAAAACAGAAATTGTTAATTCTCTAACAAAAAATAACACATATGCTTAATCAGTGAACAAATATGCCTTTTTATGTTTGATCAATATTTTTATTATTTGTAAAGTAATGCATGTTTAAATTATAAATTTAAAACATTACATTTAAGCAATTAAATTAAAATTAATATAATGGATTGTTATAATATATTGAGAAATAATTAGATAAAGTAGTGTTAGGTTGTAAATTGAAGCTTGTAATGTGCATTTTTATGAAAACCAGCTTACATCATTTTAGTAACCTCTTCCATTTTAAAATAATTTTCTTGGTTCAAATATTCTTTCATTTTTTTAAAAAAAAAATAATATCTGATGTTTCCCTTCTTAGGAAAATTCTGAAAATGCTAGCCATTCATACCGGTCCAGCCGGCAGCCATACCTGGTTTGTACTATAGCTAGACTTATTTTAAGCATAAATTCAGTCTTACTTTATCTGTTTTTGATTTTCCTTTTTATCAATGTTGCTTCATTATTTAATTTTTTTGATTAGGGAGCTGGTGATTTGGTATCTTCTCAAAACACTGGTAGTCACAGGGTTAGTATTAAAATTTATTTCAATAAAAATAATGCAGCATTTGTTTTTAACAAATATAGTTTATAATTTGAGAATGCTATGAGATTATTAATATATTTGAAATGCTAGTTATTATGCAACATAGAACTGAATATATAATGAAATTTTAAAAAATTTCAAAGAAAATTCTTTAAATAGAAGAATGTAATTTCCTAGAATAAATATTAAAAAAAAATTATAGACTTGTGGATTGAAATATATAATGATGTTATTTCTTCATTAAGTTAAAAATATCTTCTGAATTCAAGATTTTGTCAGCACCATATATATGTCTTGCATGGTTTTTAAATTTCCATGGGTTAAATACTGAGCTGCAGTTTGAAGTGCAGTTGGAAGAATATTGCTTAAAATAATTTTAGTTAGCATAAATGCAGTTCTGTAGTTAAAGGATATCAAAGAAATTAAGAGGAGTAGGGGATAAGTTAATGAAATATTCTCATTTTTAATAATAAACTGAATTATTATAACTACATTGGGGTCTTTGTATTGTAATTCACATTTTACATTAAACCATAACGTGGTATGAACCGATTATTATAGTTTGTAAACTATAGCTTACAGCTTAATATGTTTGGACCCATTACATTAGTTAACAATCATGGATATTCATACCATTGGCTTAATGTGGAAACTAGAGCTATGCTTAAAAAGAGGTGCTTTGCAAAATATATTAACATGAATAAAGTGTGTGTATACCTGTGAAAATACACTCTTCTGAGGCTTTGCCTACATACAGAGACAGTACTAATACAGTGAGGGGGGAAATTATTTGATCCACTGCTGATTTTGTATGATTAGTCTATAATTTTAGTGGTAGGTTTATTTTAACAGTGAAAGACAGAATAACAAAAAAAAAAATTCCAGAAAATCACATAAAATAAGTATTTGATCCCCTATAAATCAGTAAGATTTCTAGCTCTCAGGTGTCTCTTATACAGGTAACGAGCTGAGATTAGGAGCACTCTCTTAAAGGGAGTTCTACTAATCTCAGCTTGTTTCCTGTATAAAAGACACCTGTCTACAGAAGCAATCAATCAGATTCCAAATTCTCCACTGTGGCCAAGACCAAAGAGCTGTCCAAGGATGTTAGGGATAAGATTGTAGACCCACACAAGGCTGGAATGGGCTACAAGACTATTGCCAAGCAGCTTGGTGAGAAGGTTACAACAGTTGGTGTGATTATTCGCAAATGGAAGAAACACAAAATAACTGTCAATCTCCCTTGGTCTGGGGCTCCATACAAGAACTCACCTTTCCTGAGACCAAAATCCAACTCTTTGGCATCAATTCAACTCGTTGTGTTTGTAGGAGGAGGAATGCTCCTTTGACCCCAAGAATACCATTCCAACCGTCAAACATGGAGGTGGAAACATTATGCTTTGGGAGTGTTTTTCTGCTAAGGGCACAGGACAACTTCACTGCATCAAAGGGATGATGGATGGGGCCATGTATCATCAAATCTTGGTTGAGAACCTCCTACAGGGCATTGCAAATGGGTTGTGGATGGGTATTCCAGCATGACAATGACCCAAAACACAGGACCAAGGAAACAAAGGAGTGGATCAAGAAGAAACACATTAAGGAGGGGCCTAGCAGTCTCCAGATCTTAATTCTATAGAAAATCTGTGGAGGGAGCTGAAGGTTCGAGCTGCTAAACGTCAGCCTCGAAACCTTAATGACTTGGAGAGGATCTGCAAGGAGTGAGACAAAATCCCTCCTGAGATGTGTGCAAACCTCGGGGCCAACTACAAGAAATATCTGACCTCTGTGATTGCCAAGAATTTTGCCACCAAATACTAAGCCATGTTTTGTGAAGGGGTCAAATACTTATTTCACTTAATAAAATGCAAATCAATTTATAACTTTATTGAATTGTGTTTTTCTGGATTTTTTTTGTTGTTATTCTGTCTCTCACTGTTAAAATAAATCTACCATTACAATTATAGACCAATCATTTCTTTGTCAGTGGGCAAACATACAAAATCAGCAGGGGATCAAATATTTTTTTCCCTCACTGTAGCTGGAAATAATTTTCAGTACAAGTGTAAAAGCCTTCACAAGGATGTATCTATGCAGAAGGGGCTCTTTATCCTAACATGCTTTGCAAATCACCTCTATTAAATGCTTTGCAAAGCCAAATTTACTAGTGAATTTGTAATCCTTTAATAAGAGAAAGAAAAACACTCTGGTTAAAAGGGTTCATCATGAAAATATTCTGTGAATTGGAAAGAGAATTGTAATTTTTAATTAGACTTTTTTGATAAATTAAAATAGTATATTGTTATAGTAGATGACAAAGACAATAATTCTGTATACATTTTTTATAATTAATTCCTTTTGAACTTATTAAAAACTTAATTCTCAATAGATAAATTTTCCAGATGTTGGAGTTCCTTATAATGGAACTCCAACATCTGGAAACTGTGAAGGGCTAACATCTGTGAAGGGCTAATGAGAATGGAAGTTTAAAAAAAATGAAAGGCATCAACTTTCATGTATAAGATATAAAACTGTCTGCAAGGTTAATATATTATATAATATACAGCGGGGACAGGGAGTTAATTGATACGGAACAACCCTGTCCCCGGCAATTTAAAAACTATAGGGCTATCAGTGCATGTAGCACAGATGTGTGTGTGGACAATAATACCAACCTTGCTACCAATCAAAATGAAGCCTCTAATAGCGAGTGCCATATAAAGTGCACTAACCAAATAGGTGGTAAGACAATAGGGGAACTCAGGCACCACACAGGTTATGTAGAAAGGAAACACAGGGCAACCCACAAAGGACTCAAATGTTTATACACCAATGCACAAAGTATGAACAGCAAACAGGGTGAACTAGAAATTCAGGTTAATGAGGGCAGATACGATATTGTTGCCATTACGGAAACATGGTGGTATGAAACTCACACATGGAACACACAGCTAGAGGGATTTAAATTATTTAAAAGAAACAGACCAAATAAAAGAGGAGGTGGAGTTGCTCTCTATATAAGAAATAACTACATCTCCACAGAAATAGAGTACAACAATGATAAAAACTGTCTTGAATGCATTTGGGTCAATATAAAAGGGGGGGGGGAATGACATTGCTATAGGTGTATACTACAGACCACCCAACCAAACAGAGGAAATAGATGAACTTTTTGCTAGTCAGCTAATTAAGGTATGTAGGAAGCACATCACAATAGTATGGGGGACTTTAACTACCCTGACATCAACTGGGAGACAAACTCTGCACCAAGTGGAAGATCAAACAGGTTCCTGGCAAACCTAGCAGACAACTTTGTCTCCCAAAAAGTAGAGAATGGAACTAGGGGATTAGCCATTTTGGATCTAATTCTAACTAACAGAGATGAAATGATAGACGGTGTTGGAGCCATAGGAACCCTGGGAGGAAGTGATCATGCAATATTAGAATTCAACATTATAGAAGCACAACCAATAGAACACAGTCCAACTAGAGTCTTGGACTTCAAGAGAGCTAATTTCAATAAACTTAGAGAGGGCTTGGGAAGGATTCCATGGATGAGAATCCTCAAGGGGAAAACAACTCAAGAAGCTTGGGAATTTTTGAAAAATGAGATAATAAAAGCACAGTCTAGCACAATACCAACAAAGAGGAAAAATAACAGCTCTCAAAAGAAACCAGCATGGCTGCATAAAGAACTCTCTGACAAATTGAAAAATAAAAAGGACAAGTATAGAAAGTGGAAAGAGGCGAACATAACTAAGTCAGAATATCAGCAAATAGCCCGAGCCTGCAAAGATGAAGTGAAGAAAGCCAAGGCTCAAAATGAACTGAGGCTTGCGACCAAAGTCAAAAATCACAAAAAAAGCTTCTTTCAACATGTAAAAAACAAGAAAAAAGTGAAGGAAATGATTGGTCCATTCGTGGGTGGAAGTGGCAAGAAGGTGACAAGCAACAGGGAGAAAGCAGAACTATTTAACTCATTTTTTGCATCTGTCTTTACACAAAGGGAAAAAACAGACCAACCTATCAAAAATAGTGCCACAAAAAACAAAACAGAAACACAAGTTAAGATAGGCAAGAAAATCGTTAGTGAGCACCTGTCCAGCCTAGATGAGTTTAAATCGCCAGGACCAGACGGATTACACCCCAGAGTTCTCAAGGAACTGGCAGATGTGATATCGGAGCCACTGAACTATATTTTTCAAAGATCCTGGAACACAGGGGAACTACCATAGGACTGGAAAAGAGCTGATGTAGTTCCCATCCTCAAAAAAGGAAAAAAAATGGATCCAGGAAATTACAGACCTATCAGCCTGACCTCAATACCTGGGAAGATCCTGGAAAAGATAATCAAACAACGAATCAACGAACACCTAGAGGCAAACAAAGTCATTACTAAAAGCCAACATGGGTTTGTCAAAAATAGATCATGCCAGACAATCTTATTGCATTCTTTGACCAAGTGACAAAATTAGTGGATCAGAGGAATGCTGTGGACATAATTTACTTGGACTTCAGTAAGGCATTTGATAAAGTAGATCACAACCTACTACTTGATAAGATAGAAAAATGTGGGTAGACAGAATCACCACCAGATGGATCCATAGCTGGCTGACCGGCCGTACTCAGCGAGTGGTCCTCAATGGAACTGCATCTATATGGAGGGAAGTGTGTAGTGGGGTGCCCCAGGGCTCTGTTCTGGGCCCAGTACTCTTCAACATCTTCATCAACGATTTTGATGAAGGGATAGATGGGGAACTCATCAAATTTGCAGACGACACCAAGCTGGCAGGAATAGCCAACACTCCAGAAGACAGGCTTAAGATACAGAAGGATCTGGACAGACTTGAACACTGGGCACTAACTAACAAAATGAAATTCAATGGTGAAAAAAGCAAGGTTCTACATTTAGGCAAGAAAAACCAAATGCACAAGTACAGCAAAGGTGGCACCATGCTCAATAGTAGTAACTGTGAGAGGGACCTCGAAGTCCTAGTAGACAATCACCTAAATATGAGCCAGCAGTGTGCTGCAGCTGCCAAAAAGGCCAACACAGTGCTAGGCTGCATTAACAGAGGGATAGAATCAAGATCACGTGAAGTATTAATACCACTCTTCAATGCCTTGGTAAGGCCACACTTGGAATACTGCATCCAGTTTTGGTCACCACGATGTAAAAAAGATGTTGAGACTCTAGAAAGAGTACAGAGAAGAGCCACAAAGATGATTAGGGGACTGGAGGCTAAAACATATAAGGAACGGTTGCGAGAATTTGGTATGTCTAGTTTAACGAAGAGAAGGACAAGGGGGGACATGATAGCAGTATTCCAATATCTCAGGGGCTGCCATAAAGAAGAGGGAATTAAGCTATTTTCCAAAGCACCTGAAGGCAGGACAAGAAGCAACCGGTGGAAACTAATCAAGGAGAGAAGCAACCTAGAACTAAGGAGAAACTTCCTGACAGTGAGAACAATTAATCAGTGGAACAACCTGCCTCCAGAAGCAGTAAATGCTCCAACACTGGAAGTTTTTAAGAAGAGACTGGACAGCCATTTGTCCGAAATGGTGTAGGGTTTCCTGCCCGAGCAGGGGGTTGGACTAGATGACCTCCAAGGTCCCTTCCAACTTTACTACTATTACTATTAATTTAAAGCAAGTTAGTTTTGGCAATACCTCCTATATGGAGAAAGGTGAGGAACTGACTAGTAGTTGTAGCTGTCAAAAACAAACACTGGAAACATCAAAGATGTAAGGAATTTGATTATCTGTATTCTTATGTGGCCCTTAAACCCTCAGGTATATGTTTTTAAAACAAAAAACATCTATCATTCAATTAAATCATTTCATAATTTCCAGCTAAAGAGATAAGGAGCTGTGTATTTCCTTTACATATTCTCTCCTTAACAAATTAAGGGATTATCCTTAAATAGCTTCCCTTCATCCTACCTGGATTCCATTTCTCTGGGCAGTCAGCTGGTTCAAGTCCAAGCCACATTGAAAGTTTAGGACCTTTGTACAAATCTAAATAGAGAAATCCAACAGCAACTCTTTCTGTTGTCCTTAGCTTTCCTTTCAATCCATCATCACAATCATCCTTCTCCTACAGCCATGTCTTCATCAGGGAAATTTTTAAGTTAGCATAACTTAAGTCTGAAACTACTCTGCTGATGAGCTCTATTTTCAAGGAGATAGGTATTTTCCTTTCACCACATAAACTTTGAAGTAAACATTAATCTTGAAATATTAAGTGGTTTAAACTTCCAAAGAAAAGATTAGTATGGAAATGCATTATGTTGGAAAATATGATGGAAATTAAAATGAGGAAAATTGAAATCATGAGCATAATGCTTTAGGTTAGCATAAATCTGCTTAAAAGATTGTTTAGAATTACAAGGAATTTTGTTCTGTAATGAAATCAATTTTTGAGATTCATAATTTTTCATAACTTTGTTCTTAAGAACCTTTCCTTGGATGTCAGTGAGTCCCACAGGAATAGATCAAGTAAATCCAGGAAAAGAGATCTAGTGGTTTGTATTCCAAATCAGCATGATATGGTTTGGTCATATAAACCTGTTATGCACTAATAATAATGACATAATATTTTAATAAAATTTTCATTGTATGAACTGTGTGCAAATGAGAGAGAAAAAACAGAATTTAAAATTATTGACTTTAAAACCAGTGGTTATTGCATGAGATATGGAGATATTGATTAATCTAACTAAGTCACTAAAAAATAAGGAAATAGGTATGGACTAAATTTTTGGTTATACACAACGTTTTTGAAATATTAGTGTCCATAAAATATCTGTAAAGTTGAATTATGGTGTGTGCATGTAACGTAAACTATACATATGAAAATAAGAATTTTTTTATCTCTTTATTTACTATTTCTAATGGATTGTAGGTGGTGACACCTTCTTTCCCAGGCCTTCCTGCACTTGTGCACGTGTCCATGTGGAAACACGCACATACAGAAATATGCATCCCAGACCTTCTATTTGGGTCTTGCTGCCCTTGCACTCTGCATCCTTCTTTCTGGCCTTCCTGTAACCCACACACATGCATATGCCCTTATTCCCGGGCCTCCAAGCATGAACCCAGAGACGCACACTGCACCTATGCCCCCAAGCATGAACACACAGACACAGAGACATACACTGCACCCATGGGTCTTGTACATTTTCCCAGCCTTCCTGCACTCCATACATTCACATCCATCCATCAGCACCTTCTTCCCTGAACACATACATAGCCATGCATCATGGTTCTTCTTTCCTGTGCTTCCCTGTACCCCTCATGCTGTTTTCCCACCTCTCTGCACTCTCACACCCAGAGATGCATCCTATACTCTCTGGCCTTCCCAGCACTCTCACCCCATCGTCACCTACCTGGCCTCCCTCACCTTCCTATGGAACTCCTGCACTTTTTCCCTGGGACTTCCTTTATTTCTTGCTTATATATATAATTTAAGTTACAATATCACAATGAACAGAAAAATTAAATCTCTAAAGTACCTTGAAATATTTCAGAGTCAATTCAGTTATAATTGTTTCTTCAAAGCAAATCACCATTTCAATTCATAAATCTACATCAAAGGAGTGATAATCAAGCTTTGTCAAATTGAAACAAAATTTAGATCTTCACAGAGCCTTAGAAAATCACCCAACAGCATGTTCAGTTTTAAAAATCTTGATGTTAGCACTGCCTTCATCTGTGTTTGCTCTTCTGTGCAAAGACATAATAAATATATAACTCTTAAACAATTTCTTCTGTTTTGCAACAGTTGGGCAAGGCAGTTGGTGTTCCAGAAGTAAAAGAATTTTGTAAATCAGGAATCACAAGAGTGCTAGAAAACCTACCTGATGAGAAAGTTAACATTTGACAGACTTCTAGCAATACTTACACACATTCTCTTCCTTTTCTTATATCTTCCCTACTTTGATGAGGATGCAGGTTTTTTGCTGTGAGAGATTATAAAGTTCTGGCTAGAATAGTTGCATTTCTGGATCAACTACCTTATGTTTTACATCCAATATGAAATTGTGGATGTGTATTTTAATAGAATTCATTGCCAAATATAATGTGGGTTGGCAAGCTTGTCTACATATGTTTTGTGCAAATCTTCAAAACCAGTTCTATTAAGAGTGTTCTATGTATCGTGAGCTATCTTGATAAACACCTATAATTTCTGCAAACTTGCAACTTTTAATGTAACTATTAAATGTTTGTCAGTATATTATTATTATTATTATTAAATAATACCCAAAGGAAAAAATATAACAATTCATTATGTTAATTAACTTGATTTGTTCTTAATTGTGTTTGCTTATAAATATTTCTTTTTCAGATGACCATGTTATAATTTAAAATTCTTTATATGGATAATACCTACAGTCAGGTCCAGAAATATTGGGACATCGACACAATTCGAACATCTTTGGCTCTATACACCACCACAGTGGAGTTGGAATGAAACAAACACAATGTGCTTTAACTGCAGACTGTCAGCTTTAATTTGAGGGTATGTACATCCAACTCAGGTGAACGGGTAGGACTTCCTGCAGTTTGCATATGTGCCTCCCACTTGTTAAGGGATCAAAGGTAATGGGACAGAATAATAATCATAAATCAAACTTTCCCTTCTTAATACTTGGTTGCAAATCCTTTGCAGTCAATCACAGCCTGAAGTCTGGAATGCGGAGACATCACCAGACGCTGGGTTTCATCCCTGGTGATGCTCTGCCAGGCCTCTACTGCAACTGTCTTCAGTTCCTGCTTGTTCTTGGGGCATTTTCCCTTCAGTTTTGTCTTCAGCAAGTGAAATGCATGCTCAATGGGATTCAGATCAGGTGATTGACTTGGCCATTGCATAACATTCCACTTCTGTCCCTTCACAAACTCTTTGGTTGCTTTTGCAGTATGCTTTGGGTCATTGTCCATCTGCACTGTGAAGTGCCGTCCAATGAGTTCTGCAGCATTTGGCTGAATGTGAGCAGATAATATTGCCCGAAACACTTCATAATTCATCCTGCTGCTTTTGTCAGCAGTCACATCATCAATAAATACAAGAGAACCAGTTCCATTGACAGCCATACATGCCCACACCATGACACTACCACCACCATGCTTCACTGATGAGGTGGTATGCTTAGGATCATGAGCAGTTCCTTTCCTTCTCCATACTCTTCTCTTCCCATCACTCTGGTACAAGTTGATCTTGTACCAGAGGATCTTGTTCCAGAACTGTGAAGGCTTTGTTAGATGTTGTTTGGCAAACTCTAATCTGGCCTTCCTGTTTTTGAGGTTCTCCAATGGTTTACATCTTGTGGTGAACCCTCTGTATTCACTCTGATGAAGTCTTCTCTTGATTGTTGATTTTGACACACATACACCTACCTCCTGGAGAGTGTTCTTGATCTGGCCAACTGTTGTGAAGGGTGTTTTCTTCACCAGGGAAAGAATTCTTTGGTCATCCACCACAGTTGTTTTCCGTGGTCTCCCGGGTCTTTTGGTGTTGCTGAGCTCACCGGTGCATTCCTTCTTTTTGAGAATGTTCCAAACAGTTGTTTTGGCCACACCTAATGTTCTTGCTATCTCTCTGATGGGTTTGTTTTGTTTCTTTAGCCTAATGATGGCTTGCTTCACTGATAGTGACAGCTCTTTGGATCTCATCTTGAGAGTTGACAGCAACAGATTCCAAATGCAAATAGCACACTTGAAATGAACTCTGGGCCTTTTATCTGCACATTGTAATTGGGGTAATGAGGGAATATCACATACCTGGCCATGGAACAGCTGAAAAGCCAATTGTCCCATTACCTTTGGTCCCTTAAGAAGTGGGAGGCACATATGCAAACTGCAGTAAGTCCTACCCCGTTCACCTGAGTTGGATGTACATACCCTCAAATTAAAGCTGACAGTCTGCAGTTAAAGCACATTGTGTTTGTTTCATTCCAACTCCATTGTGGTGGTGTATAGAGCCAAAAATGTTCGAATTGTGTCGATGTCCCAATATTTCTGGACCTGATTGTATATTAATAGTTATTTATGTGGATGACAATGGCAGTATGTTCATAATTGTAACTTTTATAATTTTTACAGAGCCATGTTTACAATGATTCTTATGGTGGGAAGAAGTCTTCTAGCTCTCGTAAAGATTTGTTGGTTAGTGTTCTCAATTGGGATTTGTTACCTCTTAATTTTTTTTTTACAAAATGTAGCCCATGTTTGCTTTATTGTTTTTAACATATCTCAGTAAAGGATACAGTTGACTTAAAAACCAGGAATAATCTGTAAGTCACAACCTAGGGCAGTGCAGTGATTTTGGAATCAAAGAGGAGAAGAGTGGAGGCAATGGAAACATAGCATCTATATTGACTATATACAGTAGTAACTCTGTAAAGCAGTTGTATCTTTTCCCAGTATTGCCCTCTGTAGTTGCAAAATGGTTTTAAGAAAAAATATATTTGATTAAAGGAATTGCCCAACAGTACTGCAACATGCCTGTACATGCTCAGAAGCATGTTTTCCCTTTGAATGCAAAGTACTGCATAACCATGCTATTCTGAAGATGGTAGCAGCTTCAAGGCAGTACTACGGAGGAAAACCCCTCTATGCTAAAGTGAATAAAACTGCAGTTTATGAGCTAGATGCTTACCTGCTATCAAAATAACACTAAGATTTGTCCTAGCCCAGCATCCAAGAAAGATATTTCTCTAAAAGCAAAGAAAAGTTTATTTCCCTTTCCCTGACACATAAAGGTCTCAATAGGATGTAAGGGAATCCCCTTTCTAGGTTTTAATACTTAGAGAGGTTTACATAAATAGAAACGCTTTCTAAAGTATTATTTGCCAATATAATGATAACTTATAGAAATATTAAATGAAATATGTATGATGCTAATGATATCATGCTGAATCCTGACCTAACGCTTTTTGGAAATCAGGGCAGTTCCTATAAAACCAATGTACCTTTAAGTTAGTAATTCTCTATCTTTCTCTAAAAGACATATTTTGTTTTAGTTACAACTTTTATTATATTCAAAGAAAAATGTATTTTACTAGATAGATGGGAAGTTCTAGGATGTAAATTATTGGTCAAAACCATTTAAACAGCCCAAGTGGTTGAAGCATGGAATCAGCAAAGCAGAAATATCTAGAGCAGGGGTGTCAAACTTGCAACGTCACATGACGTGTCGCGATGTATTGTGACTTTTTTTCCATTGCCAGCAATGGGGTGGGCGTGGTTTCTCCATGATGCATCTGGCCTGTGGGCCGGAGCTTCCAATCCTCTTTTAAGAAAGATGACAGTAAGAAAATTCTCAAGCTATGTGGTGCTTCAGATGGAATATGATTCTATCTACGTCAAGACACTTATCTGGTTCTCAAGCTTAGAACCCATATATCCACAAGTTTCATCCTAATGGTTTTCTGGTTACTGATTCTCTTCTAACTCATTAATGTCCAGTCCTATGTTTAGTAATAGTTGTTGTTTTATTTATTATGCGCTTGTCCCCTTTAGTCTATAATTTTAGTTTTAATATTAAAAACTTACATAGAATTTACTATTTTAATTTTATACTATTTTGTTAGCAAACCAAGCTTTTAGTTCTCTTTTATCACTTATAAATTTCAGTGGAGTTATTGAAGTAGATGTAATTTTCCTTGTTTGAATTTTATGCTGCTCTATAAAAAAACTCACTGTTAGAAAAATTACAATGTGAAACCATTATTGGCCCTGCTAAAATTTTGATTCCTCCATTCCAGCTTTGTTGCCTTGTTTCTAGTATGTGATTGCTGCTCTGAGTTTTTTCTGAAATGTTGCAAATTGTTCATGTTGAATCATGAAAATAAATGTTGCTTCTCACTGTATATTTAAATCATCATAGAAATTTTCTTTATTAAGCCTCTCAATAGTAAATGTTTGACATTCCACCAGAGCACAGTTTATATAAGGTAATAAATATCTGTTAACACTTTAATGAATTATTGCAACAAAGCTTACATACTTTGATATTTTAAAGAGCATTAGTGAACAATTTCAGAACTTTTAAGTTTGTGAAATTTTGTTCACATATGGTAATTGATTAAATCTGAGAAGTTATCTATACAGCAGGATGAAGTTAATATTAATTTTCTCAAACATTCCAATTACAATAATAAATTTAAGTTATTACATTCTGAAGTTAGCAGATATGGTATATTTGTAACAGTTGCAGAATTCTGTATAATAGGGAAAATATCTTATTTAGTAGACATATCCAGATAATCATATAAAAAGGTAGACAGAAAGTTTGAGCTTTTATATGAAAAGATTACATCACATGTAATATAATACCTTCAGCTGAATCAACTGAAATTGTTGACTGTACTTTGGAGCCTCATAATATATTTTGAATACTAAAGATAATATCATTATTTGCAGGATCTCGTGAGTTAGTGTTTGAGTATCTTTTATACTCTTGTCATTTTAAACAGAGTGGATTTTATCATGACCACCGAAATTACAGCAGTCTTAGACATAGCAAAGCACTTCCTTCTTATCAGCCTCGGGTGTGTTGCTTTTTTTTTTTTAATGAATTATTTTGCTAAATAGATTTTTGTCTTCAGTAAAGCATAAAAGCATGAGAATTAGCACAAAAGCTTTGCTTCATTTGAGTGTCATTTGAATTAACAATTGGCCAAGGATCCAGTGATGGTTTTTTTGGTCCTATGTTAGTTGATGAAGCATGAATCAAGTTAGAATTTGAAGTAGAGTAGGTTCAGGAATTTAGATTTCTTTTCACTTTTTGACATGCAACTTCCTGATTTAAATTTGCCAATATGTTAACAATAGATCTGAGACATTTTAATATTATAGACAATCATTCTAAAGAGGTTTGTTCTGAAAGATAGGACTACTGTCAACTTATGGATGGCAATTTTTTTTATTAACTATCTAATGGAATGCATAATCTATTATTGCCAGCTTTGGGCTGTGAATGCACTGTTTCTATTCTCTAATTTTATGACAATACTCATACTGTTCCTTATCTGCATGTTTGATGTACAATGTGCATCATTTATTCAGCATTCACTATAATTCAGTGCTTTATTCTTCTCACAGTCATCATCTCTATACAATGAACCTCTGGCAACAACTAAGAATTACAGGGTTAGTAAAATATAACATGATAGACAATGTTTAGGTATTGCAATATTCATGTATACAGGAAATCTAAAAAAAGTACTCTGTTCTATAGGCTTCCCCAGATGTAAACACTGGTTTGATAAGAAGTACCAGTTTGGTTCGTATGTAGATCTGCATGTGACTTTAGCCTGCTTTCTGAGCATACTGTTCTCTGAGAGCATTGTGTATCATTATTTTGTAAATATTTAGGTTAAGTTTGCAAAAATATAAGAATGGAGAATATCAGAAAACTATTTTGAGAAGACACAAACTGTATGTAAAGTGTGGGCTCTTAAAACTGTAGGGATTTTCTTAAATGAAAACATGCTAAGTGGTTGGTTGCTTGGTTGTCTTTGAAACTGCACTGTAAGAATGAAAATATGTGGACTAACTAAGCTTTTCTTTTGTAGTAAATGGTTTTGACTTGGAATTTTAAAATACAACAAATTGCTAGGTTTGCAAGATTCTTAATATCTTATTGGAAAAATTCTTTGAATAACAAGATGTTAATTTTATCTATAAAAATCAATAAGCACAGTGAATGTGGTTGCTGCAAAATATAAAATATTCTAAGGATTGTTTAAGAGATAGGACAAGCTATGTTATAATGATGAACCCTTTTGTTGATGTTGTTGAGAGCTAAATTACCAGTACAGTTAGTCCTTGAATTATATCAATTTATTTAGTGACTGTTCAAAGTTGCACTAAAAAATTGACTTATGACTGTTTTTCACACTTATGATCTTTGCAACATCCTCATAGTCGTGATGAAAATTCAGGTGCTTGGCAGCTGGCATGTATTTATGCCGCTTGCAGTGTCATGGGGTCATTGATCACCTTTTGCAATCTTTGACCAGCCATCAATAGAGAAGATTCACTTAACAGCCATGTTACTAACTTAACAACTGCAGTGATTCATTTAAGAACTTTGTCAAGAAAGATCATAAAACGGGAACAAAACTTACTTAACAACCTTCTCAGAAACAGAAATTTTGGGCTCAATTGTGATTGTAATCTGTGTCTGCATGCTGGTAGTGCATTTTAAAAAAACCCTAAAAGACTTGTTTTCTGTTTTTATAAGACCTAAACTACTTATATCATAACTCCTACCCCATCAATATGTCCATTTACCTGTTTAAGTTGCCCTTCCCCTTCTCCGTTTCACTGTTCTCAGTAAATGAAATAAGAGGCATTAGGTTGTATAGCTGTTCATCCATGTTGTATCAGAAAGTACTTATGGGTTTATTCTGTACTTTTATATAACAACAAACACTATTTTCTCTGTTATCTAGGCATCATTATATGATGATGGATTGCATAAATCGTATAGTAATCGTACTGTAAGTCTATAGGAACTTCATTTTACAAGTTTGGCATATGTATGTGAAAATAAACAGCTGAAAAAGTATTTCACAACATTTGTTTTTTAGCCTTCAGAATATAGTTATTCAAGAGCAAGTTCAGCACGAAGTAGTCCAGTGGTGAGATGTCTCTGCATGTCTTAAAGCCTTCTATTTTTATGGATAACTCTGATATTAAATAGATATAGAATATTAATTTGCATTATTTAAGATAATGTAAATGTAGAGTTGTTGGCTGTCCTTCTGGGAACCTCCACTTCTTCAATTATATACTTTTGGAAGAAGAATATTAATTATTTTTAGCAAGAAATGTAAACTATAGTTGAAAGAATGTAATATTCTAAAATCATTTTTAAAAATTTATATTTAACAAATATTGAAATTTTGCATGCTTATCATATTGTATTTGTTCTGTAGCTAATGATAAGCAGAGAGAGTACTTAAAGTTTTCAGTTAAATCTTCCTTTCATATTCACATTCTAATTTTATATGGCCATTGTGTCAGGAACTGATGTAATACAATTTCCACCACTATTGCATTTAATAAAAGCTCAATTGTTCACTATCACAAGTTAACACTATGAATATAATTTGATTTTATGATAGCAGATAGCTTTCTTTACCCAGTGTCAGAATGGGGAAACTTTGATGATCAAGGATTACATTTCATGTTTTCAGAGGGAGGAAAGTTGTTGTGAATAAGTTCAATGTTGCCAGGATTGTATGTATTTGTTTAGGATGTGGAGTTTGCAAAAATAGATTCAGGGATCCAAAATTGTCCATCTATCCATAGAGTATAATAAATGCTATTTATTATACTACTTTCTATGCTACTTAAATATTAGGAATGGAAGAGCTGAGAGGTTTTGTATTCTATCTTCCAGGCAGAATTAAAATATACCAAGTTGGTTGTTGATTATTTGTAATCTCACATAGTTAGAAGTTAGAAAAAACAGCTTGAGCATAACTAAGAAAAAAAATTGAAGATGGGACTATGTAGACAGCAGTAGTTTAATTAAGCCAATTATGTCTTCAAATTAGTCAATTATTTTGCATAAATACTAGTTTGAAACACTGTTAAGACACTGAAGTGAAAAGTTGCAGGTTATCTTCTCTCTGTGCAGTCTACCTCTCATACTAGAATCCAGCATCACAAAGGTATTTCTTCACAACACTGCTCTGGTTTATTTATTATCCAGTTAAGTCCTTAACGTTGTAGAAAGTTCTTAATATTGATTTATATAAATATGTACTGTGTATAATAGCAACCTAGTTAATTATTTATTTCCAACTCTTTTAGTTTACAGATGATGAATCAGGCAGCATTGCATCCTCTGACCATGCTGTACGAGGTTATAGGGATAGTGTGGTGAGCAATGTTGCATGATAGATATAGGTCTGCTGTGTTCTAATTTTGTCAATTCATAACGTGTGAAATTTTACAGTTCCTAATCTTGTATAATAGATATTCCTATTTGTATTAGATATACTCATTAGATTAAAAGTATTTTAGTTTATAACCCCTCAAGGTAGAATTGCACTACTTTTAAAATACTCTTATTTTTTTATCCTTAACATGTTTATTAAATTATGTCCTAGCTTATGTCGTAGCCTAATGTTGACAGTATTATTTTAAGTGTGTAAAATGAGAACAATTAATTATACATATATAATAAATGTATATGCAAACATGTATTAATATATAGTCATTGCATGTGAAAGGATAAAACAGTAAAGGAAATGAATTCTTGATTCCTTTAGAATTAACAGCTATACTATTACAACTATACCATTTTCAAATATTAAAAAGCCCTCCTCATATTAAAGTACAAGCAATCATATCCAAATTCATTTATATAGATTATGTATTAACATTTATATATTTCTAAACAACAATGTCCATGACATGTAATTTGCAATGTATTTTATATTTATTATCTAATAAACTAATAGATTTAGATTAGGCTTTAGAAGGAATAAGTTGCTTAAAAGCCCTCAGTGTTAGATAAATTCAGTGTAGTTGAGTTCCAAATCTAATAATGACTACAAAGATATTCTGCACCTTACTAAATGGACTATTTTTTTCTTTCTTTAAAAAAAAGTCTCTCCATTTATTTCACTTTCAAGTAGTTTTTACGAAGTCTTATAAATGCCTAAATGCCTCATAATGTTTTTTAAAGATTGTGAAATGTAAAGATTATATTTTTTTAATAATGAATAACTTCTTTTTAATCATTGAATTATACGTAACAGATAGAAACTTGCCAGGCTAAACCTTTATGACTCCCAGTTTAACAGATATACTCTGGGAGATTCTAGGGAGTGACTGTCCTTACATTCTTCCTCTGATTCCATCCTCAGGCTGTGCTGTCTCTTAGGTCTCCCCCACCTCCCTTCTCAAATGTATCCCCCCTTCCTGGGAAACTGCATTTCACTTTGGTCTATCAAATAAGCTTCCGGGCACCCTCTTTTATACCATGATCCAATATAATGCAAACTTATATTCATTTAAGAGTTCTGCTTTGTACATTTGTATTGTGCTTGTTTGTAAAATTTAACACTGGCTATTGATTTGTATAAAACAAGATTTTTGTATTTTCTATGGGCAACATGTCTGTTCCCTTGTACTAGAATCCAACTTTAATCTAGAACAGTTAAAATAACAGTAGATTGTCTTAATGTTTTAATTGAGAATCAAACCTTCATTTATTCTTCTAATGACTTGAATTTGTAAGTCAATTTACAATTCTAGATTGTTCAGAGTCCAAATTTGGATATAACATTAAGCATTTTTTCCTAATAATTTGTGAAATAAGAAACAATTATTGTGAGGGATTTTGAAGAATAAGTATATTAAATTTTTAGAATACTCTAGGCATGTAATTTATTCCAGTTTAATTAGCCTGGCCTTGCCTTGTTAACAAAAAAATGGATATGTTTTTGAGCTTTAATTTTAAAAATGGATCTGAATATGCAGTGTCTTTTGAGTTATTTCCACAGTGAGGGAAATGTTTTAAAGATCAATAGAGAAGAGAGAGTAACCCGTATACTAGCCCTATACTAAGAAAAGATGTGGAAGAAAATTATGTAATAGGAGAGTTATATACAGGAGCATGTTTAGAGATCTGATCACAAAGAAATGATAACACCAACTAATATTTAGAAAGATTGATGTTTTGGAAATTTTAACCACATTTTTTAACAGAATGAGGTTAGAAATATATAATACCATTATTACTTTACATATTAAAACTATGTAAATGTGATTGATTTGAAAAACACTACTAGATTCTGCAATTTTTGTCAGACTTATGAGGCTTTGTTGTTGTGAAACTATTAATAGTAGCCTTAACATTTTAAAATGAAGATTAAGAGAGACCTCATTATTCAAAAGAAACTCTCAAAACAATTTTGATTAAGAGAAAAGAATAGCATGAACAAATTATATATATTTTTTGTTTCTGTTTTTTTCCTATCATTTTCTTGCCATCTGTTTTGTTTGTTGTTTGTTTTGATTACTGAAGTCAAGTGATTTTCATCATCATGGGGAAACTACAGCTGATTATTTTAGCCGCACTAATCGTAGGGGAAGCATTGTTTCTGACTTGGATGATGTCAGCATTCCAGACATGAACAATGTGAGTGTGTTTAACATAAAGTTGATGACATTGCTGCAAATTTTTCTTGGTAAATATGTTTGTTAATTTCATTAATGGCAATAATGTTAATTTATTATCTTGCATATACTTTTATATTTTTATTTTAAGTTCACTATTATGATTGGAGTCTTATATTTTGTATGACTTTAAAAATTACATTTGGGGATTAGGTAAAGTGAATATGATCTAATCATAATACTTATTTGTATTTGAGTTAAATATGCATATGGCTCTATAACATTTACATTAAATATATTGATGGGGAAGAATATATTTCTTCCCCATCTATTTGTCAGGAATTGAGAGGGCCTGATACCATGATCTTGGTTTTCTTAATATTGAGTTTCAAGCCAACTTTTGTACTTTCCTTTTTCATCAAGAGGCTCTTTAGTTCCTTTTCACTTTCTGCCATTAGAGTGGTATCATCTGCATATCTTAGATTGTTGATATTTCTCCTGGCAATCTTAATTCCAACTTTTGATTCATCTAGCCCTGCCTTTCTCATGATGTGCTCTGCATATAAGTTAAATAGGCAAGGCAACAGTATACAGCCTTGCCGAATTCCTTTCCCAATTTTGAATCAATCAGTGATTCCATGTCCAGTTCTCATTGTTGCTCCTTGGCCTACATATAGGTTTCTCAAGAGACAAATAAGATGGTCTGGTACTCCCATCACTTTAAGAACTTGCCACAATTCGTTGTGATCCACACAATCAAAGGCTTTAGCATAGTCAATGAAGCAGATGTTTTTCTGGAACTCCCTAGCTTTCTCCATGATCCAGCATATGTTGGCAATTTGATTTCTAGTTCCTCTGCCTCTTCGAAATCCTGCCTATACTTCTGGAAGTTCTCAATCCACATACTGCTGGAGTCTAGCTTGTAGGATTTTAAGCATAACTTTACTTGCCTGTGAAATGAGTGCAATAGTGCGATAGTTTGAACATTCTTTGGCATTGCCTTTCTTTGGAATTGGAATGTAAACTGACCTTTTCCAATCCTGTGGCCACTGTTGAGTTTTCCAAATTTGCTGGCAAACTGAGTGTAGCATTTTTACTGCATCGTCTTTTAAGATTTTGAATAGCTCAGCTGGAATACTGTCACCTCCACTAGCTTTGTTGTTGCTCAGCTTTCCTAAGGTCCATTTCACTTCACATTCTAGGATGTCTGGCTTGAGGTCAGTGACCACCCCATCGTGGTTATCAGGGATGCTAAGCTTGTTTTTGTATAGTTCTTCTGCGTAATTTTGCCACCTCTTCTTAATCTCTTCTGCCTCTGTTATGTCGCTGCCGTTTTGGTCCTTTATCATGCCCATCTTTGCATGAAACGTTCCCTTCATATCTCCAATTTTCTTGAAGAGATCTTTGGTTCTCCCTATTCTATAGTTTTCTTCTATTTCCTTGCACTGTTCATTTAAGAAGGCATTCTTATCTCTTCTAGTTATTCTCTGGAGTTCTGTATTCAATTGGGTTTATCTTTCTCTTTGTCCCTTGCTTTTCGCTTCCCTTCTTTCCTCAGCTATTTGCAAAGCTTCCTCAGACAGCCATTTTGCTTTCTTGCATTTCTTTTTCTTTGGGATGGTTTTAGTTGCTACCTCTTGTACAGTGTTGCAAACCTCCATCCATAGTTCTTCGGGCACACTGTCTATCAGATCTAAATCCTTAAATCTATTTGTCACCTCTACTATATATTCATCAGGGATATGATTTAGTTCATACCTGAGTGGCCTAGTGTTTTTCCCTACTTTCTTCAATTTAAGCCTAAATTTTGCAATGAGAAGCTCATGATCTAAGCCATAATCAGCTCCTGGTTTTGTTTTTACTGCCTGCATAGAGCTTCTCCATCTTTGGCTGCAGAGCACATAATCAATCTAATTTCTGTGCTGACTGTCTGGTGATGTCCATGTATAGAGCCGTCTCTTGAGTTGTTGGAAAAGAGTGTTTGTTATGACCATCGTATTCTCTTGACAAAACTCTATCAGCCTGTGCCCTGCTTCATTTTGTACTCCAAGGCCAAACTTGCCTGTTATTCCGGTTATCTTTTGGCTTCCTACTTTAGCATTCCAATTTCCCAAGATGATAAGGACATCATTTTTTTGGTGTTAATTCTATAAGATGCTGTAAGGCTTCATAGAACCGGTCAATTTTATCCTCTCCAGTGGTTGGGGCATAGATTTGGACTACTGTGATATTGAATGGTTTGCCTTGGATTCGAACTGAGATCATTCTGTCATTTTGGGGATTGTATCCCAGTATTGCTTTTCTTATTCTTTTATTGACTATGAAGACTACTCCATTTCTTCTGAGGGATTCTTGCCCACACTAGTATACCTGATGGTCATCTGAGTTAAATTCACCCATTCCTGTCCATTTTAGTTCGCTGATTCCTAAGATGTCGATGTTCAGTCTTGTCATCTCTTGTTTGACCACGTCCAATTTGCCTTGATTCATGGATCTTACATTCCATGTTCCTATGGATAAAAAATCTTTACAGCATCGGACTTTCCTTTCACCACTAGATGCATCCACAGCTGAGCATCCTTTCGGCTTTGGCCCAGTCGCTTCATTCTTTCTGGCACTACTAGTACTAGCCCTCTGCTCTTCCCCAGTAGCATATTGGATACCTTCCAACCTGAGGGGCTCATCTTCCAGCGTCATATCTTTTTGCCTTTTACTATTGTCCATGGAGTTTTCATGGCAAAGATACTGGAGTGGGTTGCCATTTCTCTCTCCAGTGGATCACATTTTGTCAGAACTCTCTGCTGTCCATCTTGAGTGGCCCTGCATGGCATAGCTCATGGCTTCAATGAGTTATGCAACCCCCTTCGCCATGACAAAGCAATAATCCATGGAGGAGTTTCAAAAATTATAAATTAAATTTACATACATAGCTTCGTATTCTGATGCCATTGATGGCTATTAGAATGTTTTGTAATGTTTATTACCTGCTGTATTCATAGTTGGGTGAAATGAATGAATGAAATGAAATGTTTTTCACTTCCCTTACCAACTTATGTTAAAGTTCCTGCTACCAAAAAAACCACATTTTTTTTTGTATCTCAGTGAATTAAAAATAATTAAATTATTAATCAGATGTCTGCAAACTTGAATTTCTATTTGGCAAATATTATTATATTTGATAACACAGACTTTTTATGAAGGAAGTGCTGCAGGGAGAAAGGTTAAATTATATTATAATAAACTTTGAATAAAAGTGGATTTTGAGAAAAATGGATATGGAAAGAAATGAAGTCAAAGTGAATGTAGAATCACTGCAAAAATGTAAAAGGTATTAGACTTGTGTGAAAAAAAATTAGATTACTCTTCCAATTTAATGAATAGAAAGAGGATACAGTGGATGTTATATGAAACAGAGTTAAGTGAAACATTTGCAAGGAAAAAAACAAAGTCCAGTTACTTTTTGAAAAAGCACTTTTGGGTTAACCATGATCTCGATGACTGAAAATCTCCATACATATTTCCCAGCTGGTTGGAATTATCCAAGAAATCAGAGGAAGATCAAGATAAAAAAAAAAAAAGAACTTTGCAGGATCCAATTTGGGTCATTCACCAGGACCAGAGATTTAGTCTTCTGGGCTTTCAAACTTGTCCTGGAGGCCATCCTTAGGGAATTTCTCTCTACCAGAATATATGCTGGGCTATTCTATGCATTATATTTATGTGGGTCCTGTTTAGATGTGACTTCCTATTAGTTGACCCGGGTATGTGGCTCCTGACAAGATCATGGTCTCTTTTGATGTAGTGTTCCTATTTATATCCATCCCTCCTCTCTTAGCATACGAAGTAAAAGATAAAAAAACTAAAAAAAGAGTATGACACAGATCAGAACAACCTAACCAGGACACAAATCGTGAAGCTACTTCAGTGGTGCCAATATACCTTCTTCACTTCAAAACAGAAATGTATGAGCAAATAAAAGGGATGCTCATGGGATCCCCAATATCAGGAGTCATTGCAGAAACTGTCTTGCGTGAACTAGAACACTGCATTTCAAAACTACAGATCTAAATTTTGGGGCCACCATGTGAATGACACATTGGTCATCAGAAGAAGAAATGCAGTGAAAGACTTTCATACCCTACTAAGCTCCATCTTCCCACACATACAATTCATAGTGAAGGAAGAAACAGCTACGCAATTATCATTTTTAGATGTGCTTGTCAACAGGCAAGAAGATGGAAGCCTAGAAATCATGGTTTATCACGAGACCACCAATATTCCATACATTGTTGGTTTCAACAGTAACTATCCACTGTCACACAAAAGAGTTGCATCAGAACACTCTGTGGCAGAGTGAGAACCCATTGTGGTACCTTGCAAGCTAAATAACTGGAGAAAAGGTACCTATGTGAACAATTCAGGCAGAATGGGTACCTACAAAATGCCTGTGCAACACTTAAAGAACAGAAATGAACAAAGAAGGTATAAGACCAACTATAGGGCACACCTTGCCATACATCAAAAACATTTTGGAAGTAGAAGAACGCAGCTTCTGAAATCTGAAAGTGGGCATTGAACACTGCCCAGAGGCTACCATACAAGGAGAAATCATGCATTGCAAAGATTGCTTGGAAGTGGGAGATACTTCTAATGTAATTTACTGATCCCCCTACATGGATTGCCCCTGTGACTACTTAGGACAGACATGGAAGAAGCTAATCACCAGATTGCAAGAAGACAAGCAAAGCAGTCAGCAAGAAAACCTGAAATCATTGTGTTCTGACCCGGCTCCCCAAACACAACAGACACGCCAAATAGACTCTAATGTTCCTTTTATTTCAGGAACGCCAGCAGTTTTACACAGCCTCCAAACAACAGAGCTCGCTCCCTTTTCCCCTGTAGGAATCACCCAGAGTTACTCTCGGTCTCACCACGTTTGCAACCAAAAGTCCTTCAAGCAAGCTGGCTATTTTTCAACATAAGGCATGCCCCTGCTCAGAAGGTACTTCGACTCCCAGCACCACAGGATCTGCGGAAAACTCCAGCAAAATTCCAATTAGAAGTGCCAGGAGTTCCAAATATATGTGGCTGACCAGCAGGAAGATGAATAGTTGTCTGCCACACCTATTCGTCCCCTCCCCTGACTTTTATTCACATCTGAGGGTGGGGCTCCGTTAGCAGAATTGACTCTTCCACCCCGAAGACCGTCCCATAGCCTCTCGCTGTTCTCCTCTTCTCAGCTTCCTCTGCACTCAATGCATTAATCACTGGCCCCATGTGATCTTGCTCTCCTGACTCACTTGTCTCAAGGCATGGAGGTCTCAGCCTTTCCATCTGAGAGCTGGCGGCAGTCCAGGCTCCACCTCTGTCCCTGGTTGCGACAGTTCTATTCCTTCGTCAGAGCTTTCAGATGATCCTGACGCTGGGCCCGGTGCCCATTCCTGTGCTTCCTTCTCTGAGTGGGCTGTTGAGTTTTTCAGCGGCTGACAGGCCACAACAATTGATAGCTTCACATTGCAATGAATAAGGACATACATTCAATTTCGCAGTTACTAAGATTATTGAATAAGCAGGTACAAAGATAGCCACGGAAATTATTGAAGTCTGGGAAACAGGTCCCTTGTCAGTCCACAGGAGTGCTGATTTACCACCAGCTTATCAGGTACTTAGCATCATAAGGAAACAACAGCCAATATCTGGCCATCAACACATCGATCAACCAAGAGGTAGTCACACCTAACCAGGCACCGCATAAATACAAAACATAGAATAGCCTAAAGTACATATTCTGATAGAAGTTCCCTGAGGATGAGTTCCACCACGAGTCCAAAAACTCAGAAGACTAAACCTCTGGTCCCAGTGAATGACTCAGATTGGATCTTGCAACATTATCCTGAGCACATATATTTGCCTTCATTCGTAAAAGAACTTTGTTTTGGAATTTGAGTTATTATTAAGAAATAACAATAGATAGTAGATTACAGTAGATTATAATAAATTGATTTAGCTAGAAGCTGCATTAACTTTTAACTTTTATCTGTTACTTAAGGGTACTTCAGTATGTAGAAACTATTGGGATGTTGACTGAGGACTCAAAGGATTTGCAACAAATATTAGATTTTATGATGCAGTATGGAGCTGAAAATTAATGTATCGACAATCATAAGGCATGCCCCTGCTCTTGATATAAAAAATAAATGACATATTTATAACTTATATATAAATGTCAAATAACTAAATTTGACATTTATATATGTCAAATACAATTTGACATTCTATATAAAAATCAAATAGTATAGTTTGGTAGAATCTATATTAAAGATAGGGAAATGGATGGATAAGATTTAAAAAGCACACAGGTTGATAGAAAGGCAGTAGCATGTTGTCTATGGGATTGAATCCTATCTTTTTATTATTTACCCTCCCATCATTTTCTTAATCTTTCAACTATCTATTACATTAGGTTCTCAAAAGAAGCAAAAATGGTTATGTAGAGATGGGTACTTATAAAAATGAGAATTGAGTATGTCAAGAGAAACAAATATATAGAAAAAAAGGGAGAGAGGAAAAATGCAGATGAGGAGAGAAGTTTAAAGAGCCAAGAAATTATACATGGATCTATTTGGAATGAGGTTGGTTTGAAGCAGTGGTGGGATTAAGCCGGTTCGCACCACTTTGGCAGAACTGGTAGCTAATTTTTTGTTGCCCAGGCCCAGAATGGACTTCCGGAAGCGGCATCCACGCACAGAACTGGTTGTTCACATATTTGAATCCCACCACTGGTTTGAAGGATATAAGAATATCAAGTAACAGAGATGTAGGTCAGAAAATTCCCTACTTCAAACAAATTAGGTGGTTTCAAAGTTGTATGATAATTGAATTTCAAAAAATTATTCTAAAAAATGAAGAAGTAGAGGTTTCATAACCCCCACCTTCGGCCCAATCAATAGTGCAATTACTTATGAAGTCTTTGAATTGAGAAGAATTTGATGATTTGCATAATATATATTTTATGTAAAACTTTTTCTTGAAAAGCCATATTTCTCTTTTTAAATGCTTTTCTTTTTCTTATGCCTTTAATTCTTCTGTTATTCTGTGCTCTTTTTCTATGCTTGGATAATGGTGCTTATCAAATAAGGGATGCTTATATATTTATGTATAATGAATAACGTATTTTTTAGGAATATCCATATAAATAATTTTGATCTTTTAGCTTTGTGTTCCTTTCTTGGTTTTAATTTTCAAATTTTCATCTGAAGTTTTGATTAAAATTGAGCCCTTATTTATAATAAATAGGTTTGAAGTAGTGTATTAAATTCCTAATCAATTTGTACAACTATGAGTTTGTTTTCTTTTTTATTTGTTTTCAGGTGATAGCCATTAATTTTTAAAACTGTTAATACTCTTGTTAAAATTAAAAGGCTACAGGTAAGTAGCTGTAGGATTATAGTTTTAATTTGTTTTGTGACATCTATTTATAATGAGTTTCATAAAAGCATATATTTAGAGACTCCTTGTTGTAAGATAGAAAAAAGACGAAAATCAATACGCTAATATTCTGGTTATATCCACATTGATAAAAAGTAATCTTTTCAACTCAAATATATCATTGAAATTAATTTAAAACATTAATTTTTAAAATATTTTTCAGCTTGAAGAGAAGACTGACAAACCATATTCTGATTTATACACAAGGGTGAGTTATTGAACAGATTGATTTTCAAATTATAGGTTTTTCTTAAAAACGTATCAGTACACATAACAATGTGAATCAAAATATATATTTCAGGTCCCCAGCATGCAGAAAGGATGTATCAGCAGTTGTCTTTATTGTTTCTTCACATCTTTACAAATAGAGTAATTTACATTATGATGTATGCAACTAAACCTATGCAAAATATTTTGCAAAATTAATTAGCATAAATTAAACGCCTGCCTGAGAAGCACTAAAGTGGCTTCAACCTTTACAAAATTTGTGCAGCTTTTTCAAAAGCTGTTCCAATTGTGTAGTTTGCATGCGCATGCACAAGCAGAATTTTTGCTTAGGGGTATGATGAACTAGAGCTAGCTTTCAAAACAATCAGATAAGTTATTGAAATAATGAATCAGTTTTAATATTCAGACAGAATTGTTTCATCTGGGCCAATGTAATTTGTGAAATATCTCTTCTGAATAATTTGCACAGCTCCATTTACAACTTTCCATTTTTCCTTAAAAATGTAATATAAAAAAGTGGAAATCAGTCTGAAAAAAAATAATAAACCACATAGTGGATTGAATGGAGAAGACATATGTTTAATATTTCCTGATACGATTCAGTAAAATCATTTAACATTACAATAGTCTATATAAGAAAATATTTTTCAAAATTATAATATTCTTCTTGGATTGATATATTATTTACATATTTAGCTAAGAAAACTATTAAAATATAAAGGAAATTTAAAACAATTGTCCTCTTTAGCCAGCATCTCGCAATTCAGCAACTCCTTTAAGTGGAAATTCTTCTAGACGAGGAAGTGGAGATACAAGCAGCCTAGCTGATCTTGATACTTCGTTAAGTGAATTGCGGGTGAGCAATTTTTATTGGTTAACAGTAAAAGAAAAGATTTATATATTTCTATCAATCAAATCTTTGTTACAGTCATAGATTAGCATAAGAAGGATAACTGTATATTTGCAATATGGATGGATGGAAGGAAGGAGAAGAAAGAAAGAAAGAAAGAAAGAAAGAAAGAAAGAAAGAAAGAAAGAAAGAAAGAAAGAAAGAAAGAAAGAAAGAAAGAAAGAAAGGAGGATTAGATTTGAAACATTTAGATTTTCTCCAGTTTTTTTCTTGTACTAACAGGTTATAATCTCTTACTGTAAGAAGAAAGCAGAACATTACTAAAAGTGTAATATAGTTTAGTGTAGTTCTAAAATTCTATAGTTCTTGATAGTTGTATGTTGTAATGGTTTTAAAATGGGTTGGTTATGTGACTGACCTGATTTTATAATCTTTTTTCTGCGATCATTAAGTGAATCCCAAGGTTATTAAGTGAACCAGTGGTTCCTTTTGGATGTACCAAAAACTAGAAATAAGTGCAGAATTTGGCCAAATTGACAAAAAATAAGGTGAGATGACCATGGGATGCTTTAAATGGACATAAAAGTGGCTGTTGCCAAGCAATTGAAGTTCAGTCATGTTACTGCAGAAGGGGCTTACCTATCGGAACTTTGAATCTGAGTTGTAGTTCCCTGTTTTGGATTAGTGGCAACTTTGAATGGTTGCTAACCAACCAATCATACGATGACTACCAGTATATAGAACTCTGCTGTTATAATATTTTAGTTTGCAAATGTGATTATGCATCTTTTTAGATTTGCATTTAAAACAAGAATGTGAATAGTTTATGTCTGAAATTGGTTTTCTCAAAGATTTTGTATTTTAAATGTACTTAAACCTTAAGAAACATAGAATTAAATTTATATCATCTTCAAGTATCAAGAATATATTATTAATTTAATTTAATCTGTAATTTGTTAAGTAAAACATACCTCAAATCACATGATTTTTAAGTCATAGAATTATATAATCAATCTTTATGATGTTCTTATGCAATGGTTCATTCCTATGTCCTGCAGGATATCTATGATCTTAAGGACCAGATACAAGATGTAGAGGGGAGATACATGCAGGGACTTAAAGAACTAAAGGTATTAGGGTTTCTCCCAAGCATGTACTCACTATGGTAATACTTTGGTAATGGCATTTTTACAAATTTCATTAACAGAGCTTTACTAACATACTAATTACTCTTTTTATTAAGTATGTGTCTAACCAGTAAATTGGAGAATGGGTTTTGTACATATAGTTACTAGTATATATTACCTTTTACTTCAATAGTGTCAATGTATATGTGAAAAGCAGTTTGCTGAATATTTTATTTAGCAAATGTTGTATTAATAGTATGTGCTATCAAGTTGATGTCAATTCTTAGTGACCACATAGATAGATTTTATTCATAATGTTCTATTCCTAAATTCATCCTTCACGTCTTCCAATGGTGCATCTATTGCCATTATAACTGTGTCCATCCACCCTGCTCCTATATGTCCTTTTCTTTCCCTCCACCTTTCCCAGCATTAGAGCCTTCTCCAGAGAATTATCATTGCATAATGTGTCTGAAGTAAGATAATTGAAGTACTTAATATTGTATAATGTAATTTCCTTTCAATAATTTGAATAATATGAAATTTTATTTTTCTTTTTACATGAAAACCCACATTGCCAAGTAAAAAATTTGTAAGACTAATAATTGGAAAACACTCTGTTAGAGATTGATAGTGAAATTAAAATTAGAATTCTGTTTTGAAGTGAAGTAATAAACCACTAGATAATTTTTAGTAATGCTTTAAGTCACATGGCGAGTGCACAAATGCTTAACACTCTTTGATTCAGATTACTGTATTACTCATAAGAAGAGCTCTGCTGGTTTTGACCAAGAACCATCTGATTCTAGTATTTTGTTTCTGAAGTGCTCATAAACAAGAGTTGGAGACATCTTCCTATTAGTGTTGACCTGAAACTAGAATTTGAAACCATGTCCTTAAATAGAAGCTGATATTAAATCTTCAAGATAAATTGTCATTGGTGTCCTCTGTTTTTCATAAATTTTTCATCTTCACTTAGAAAGCTCTTTTAAAAATCTGATTCTGTAGATTTTATCCCTCAAAAGTGTCACTGTATATGAGTTGCCCAAGGTTTATTAGATATTTAAGCATTTTTTTTCTTTTTAATTTGCGATATACAAAAGGCAATACCATTGTGGGGGGGGTTCATGATTCATTTCTAACCCAGTACTCTCAAACCACTCAGGTATAGGTTTAGTCAATAAGGGGTACTATTATATATATTTGTAAAGCTATATTACTGTTCAAAAATTTCCCTAATTCCCTTGATAGAATTAAAGTAATTTCTTATTAGAGGAAAGCATAATCTTAGTGATGAATGTGAAACTTGAAGGAAGTTAAAGTCAGGAATGTGCTATACTTCAGTTTATGAAAAATTTTGCTGTGATTATACAATGATGATTATACATTAATATAAAAATTACAAGACTTGCTAATTCATTTTGCTACATCAAGCTAACATAACCGTGTTCTAGCACTACTAACTTGCTTAAATTGTTGCCATTTGCCATTTGCAAAGAAAATAATAAAATAAATTCCATAAATGTCTGTGTGCAAGTTCAACTTTCATTGATTTTGCACTTTTAAACAGACTTAACTTAGAAAAATAACACAGTTAAGTATGGAACATTCTGTGTGCTTCTATTTAAATAATACTTAATAAATAAAGGAATAAAATGTTTCTAGGAGTCACTTGCTGAAGTTGAAGAGAAATACAAGAAGGCCATGGTTTCTAATGCCCAACTTGATAATGAAAAAAACAATTTAATCTATCAAGTGGATACTCTAAAAGATGTCATTGAGGAAAGAGAAGAGCAATTAGCAGAATACTATAGGGAAAATGAAGAAAAAACTAAGGTACTTAAATTTATAATTTATTATATGCAGAATGTACATTTTAAATGGAATATTAAAAAATATCTGTGTGTGTACTTAGGCATATTTGTACTTGAAAATAATGTTGCATATTTTTAGTGAAGACAAAGACCTTACTAAGGTCTATGATGGCTCAAACATGGGAAAATTAATTGGTTCTGGCAGCAATTTCTCCTCTTCCTTTATTTGATTCTAAACGACTCTTATTCTTAGAAATTGGACAACCATTCATCTGCAATGGTATAGGATCTCCTGCCTGAGCAGGAGGTTGGACTGGAAGACCTTCAAGGTCCCTTCCAACTCTGTTATTCCTTGCCCATGATGATTACAGTTTTACTAAAACAGATTTGAAAAATGTTGTCACATATAGTGGAAAATTGAAAATCCAATACTGAAACAATATTGATCTAATGTCAAGCATTGAAGACAAGCAAGAAGTCTGTTCAAAATTGGGTCTTGATACTGTATAGTAGAGTGAGATCTACTACTCAGAAATTGTGAAAAATGATTAAGCCAGATTTCATAATTTGGTTCCTTTAACTGAGTAGTTAGTATTCCTACCTTTATAATAAATATTAAGAGTACCCACTAACTAGCCCACAGAATCTTGAAATTAGTTTACTTCATTATAACAAGTTTCAAAATGTTATTTGAGAGTAGCCAAAGCCACTGAAACAAATTTTAAAGTAATCTAATTTCTACTTTTTTTTTTTGGTTTAATATAGGAATTGGAGAGACAGAAACATATGTGCAGTGTTCTACAGCATAAAGTAAATGAACTCAAGGAAAGCCTTTGCCAAAGAGATGAACTTATAGAGGTATATGGTTATGCTAGAAAATAACTAGTAATATTGTAGTCAAATGAAATGTCTATAATTTATTTCCTTTATTTTGACACATACTATACTGTTTGCGCTTTTCTTCCAATGTTATAAGAGGAAATAATGAAAGACTTTTGTCTTTATGAGGGGCTCCAGATAGCAAAAATTCTTAATACAAATTGTGTCTATGTCTATTTGTGTCCAGAGAGGATTGCAGTGCTTAGATATTCTATTGATATATCATTTATCTTGCTGCCAAACACTTTTTCTTTCTGAGCCAGCTGGGTTCGTTTCCAAATTGGTTCTAAATTATTGGATTACTTGTTTTGTTAATGCTAAAGCTACAGAAGCTCACTTAAAACTTCAATTTCATGATTCTTTATTTATTTACTTATTTTACATGCTGTTAAAACAATTCCAAAATAGTTTTCAAACAGATTCAATGTTTAAACAATGAAACTAATTGATAAACAATAACATTATTATAATAAAATGTAAACTAGACATGATTAAATTAACAACAACATATTAAGACAGTATAAATTTTATGACAGTAACATGGCTACTCTAGTTAGTAACTTTGTCCTCACATGAAGCAATTTCATCTTAGCTTAACTTTGCTCACGTGAACATGCTGCTTTGAAAAATTGATGGAATTCAATTTTTAATTGAATTTATGGGATTTTCTTGTTCATGGATTGAAGCCTTTCTGATTAATTCTGATAGAATTGGCATGTATTTTCCTCAATCTAGGATCTTCTACGAGAGGCCTGGGAGTTTGAGAGTTCTGTACTTCCAGTGGAACTGGCCAGATTTGAAGAGCACAATCTTAGAGTGTTATAGACTCGCCCAGAATTAAATGCTTTAAAAAGTTTTCTAAGGCAGAAAAAACCTCCCTGGAGAAAAGGGAAGTTCTGGAAATTAACCCTTTTGCTCCCTTGGACAGCTGGGTGCTCTCAGAAAGCTTCTGGAAGAAGAAGTGCAGTGAGTCTCTAGCTGGGGGCTGGGCAACCAAGACACAAGTTCACTGTAGAGGAATCAGCCGTTTTAATATGGACATAAAAATCTGTCTCTGCCTCTTAGACACTAGCCTTTGCATATTTACCTTTTCTGTTTAAAAGAGGCTTCCTCTGGTTGCAACATGCCTTTTCCATTTTGTGGAATCATCATTTCTGTGGCTTCAGAATTTCAATATAGTGAGGGGAGGTATTTGAATATCCGAGCCAAACTAAAGAAGCTGGTGAACATGGTGGATTTTATTTTGAAACTTTGGATTTAAAAAACTCTTGGAGAAGTACTTATCTAGCAGACTCTGCTGAACTCTTTCTTATCTCTAAATTAAACCTTCCCTGAATGGCATTTTACTTTGGCTGGAAGGAGAGGGAGAAATAGTTTTGATTTCACTTCTCACCACTGATTGCTCTAATACAGTGGTTCTCAACCTTTTTAATGCCGCGACCCCCCAACCGGTCGTAAGTTGAGGACTACTCAACTGGTGCAGCACCGTTTGCAGAATGGGACTTTTGGCGGGCTCAACAGGGCAGAGACAGCCTGGACAATTCCTATTGGCTTTTGAAAGTCAATAGAATTAGACTCCATTCAAGAGAGTCTATTCTATTGGCTTTCAAAAGCCAATAGAATAAAAGGGAGTAGCACAGCTAAGGAAAAGGGGGGAAAATGGCGGACTGTGTTGTTTGGCAACCCCCGTGAAATGGTCGTTCGACCCCAAATGTGGTGGCGACCTACAGGTTGAGAACCACTGCTCTAATAGTAGACAAAGAGAAACTGTTCTTATTATATTGTTTGACCATACGAGGGAGCCAAAGACTACAGAATGATGGTGACTCGTAAAAGAACAGAGAAGATACCTGGAGATGTGGAATCTTCTATATCTTTTATGGATGAATATACAGCCAAAACACATGAAGCTATACAGGCAATGGGAACTAAGCTTGAATCAAAAATTGATACATTGGTAAGGGAACTTTGTGATGAGATACAAGGTTTGAGAGGAGATATTGAGCAGGTGAAGGCCAGTGCTGAATTGTTAAACACAAAGTTGGTAAGCAAGATAATTTTCTGGAAACTGAAGCAAATGAGAGGATTCTCCTGAAAATTCATGCTAAGGAATTTCAATTAAGATTCAGAGCAATTCCTAAACAATCTGGAGAGGATATCAGAGCAAAGATGTTTAAAGCTTTGGCTGCATTAATAGATTGTGACAAAAGAAGTCTCGACTCCAATGTAGATAAGGTGTATCGACTGAATTCGAGATTTGCTGCCATGAGGAAATTACCAAGGCATGTTATGGTTCACTTTGTGAGAAAATTGTTCTCAATTGTCAGTTCAAAGCAAAATCACAAATGGAAAATGTTCACATAATTATCTTGAAGGAAATTCCCATAAGAATTTTGCGAAAAAGGAAACCCTATTCATTCCTTACAGATATTTTGAAGATGAGAAAAAATCCCTTTCGTTGGGGTAAGTTTGAAGGGGTAACACTTACATACCAGGAACAAAGATTTTGACTGAACTACATAAATAAAGCCAAGGAGTTTTTGAGCAGACATAAATTAATTTCAGAACTAGATGATGAGATGGAGATGGATAAGTCTTTGGGGGCCGACCAGCTTCGAAAAAGGACATTGAAAAAGAGATGACAGGTGTCTGTACAGGAATCTGATGCTTCATTTAAAGATGGAAAGTAAACTCATTACATGGAATATCAATGGGGTTAATGTCCCATCTAAGCATAAAAAAGTATTTCATCATTTGAAAAAATGCTGGCATAATCTGTCTTCAAGAAACACATATTAAAAATATGAAGACAAATAACTAATAAATAAAAGGCTAGGGGAGGAATTTGTATCTGCTGGGAAAAAAAGATAAATGGAGTGGTTTTATACATAAAACCCCAATTTAAACCTAGGCTTTCATCAGATGAATACGGTAGACTTGTAATAGTAGAAATTAATTTTAATGGAATAAAATCAATAGTGATTGGACTATATGTGTTAAATTAGGGGAAAAGCAATTTTTTTGAGTACCTTATAGACCTTGCCTTTTTCATCTGAAAATTGGCTTATGCTGGGGGACTGAAATGGAGTGATTTCGCCACTTTAGGATAGAACATCTACTAAAGGCATCAAATCATCCAAGGGTAAACTACCAAAGTCATTTTTTGAAATGATGGACAGTTTCACATTAATAGACTCATAAAGGCATAAAAATGGCTCCGCGAGAAAATATATCTTTTTTTCAGAAAGGCACAATTTTTTTTCAAGGATTGATATGATATGGACCTCTAAAAATTTAGCAAATAGAATTTTGAAAGTTGATATCCTACCTAAATCCTTTTCTGATCATAACCCAGTTGTTTTGGTCCTCAGAAAAAAGACCTTGAGTTATAGATTGAGATTGAATGAATCTATTTTACAAAAGAAGGAAATTGTAAAGGAATAGAATGAATAGAATAGAATAGAATAGAATAGAATAGAATAGAATAGAATAGAATAGAATAGAGAAGAGAAGAGAAGAAAATCTGGAAGGGACCTTGGAGATCTTCTAGTCCAGACCCCTGCTCAAGTAGGAGAACCTATACTATCTCAGACAGGTGAATGTCCAGTCTCTTCTTAAAAATCTCCAGTGATCGAGTACCCACGATTTCTGGGTGTAAGCTGTTCCACTGATTGATTGTCCTCACAGTGAGGAAGTTTCTCCTTAGTTCTCTCTTTGATCAGTTTCCAGCCATTGTTTCTCCTCCCTCCCTTTGGTGCTTTGGTGAACAACCTGGCCCCCTCTGCCTTGTGGCAGCCCCTCAGATACAGGAACATTGCTATCATATCTCCCCTATTTCTTCTTTTCTTTAGCTGTAGCTGTTCTTTGTATGTTTTAGTCTCCAGGTGACTAGGAGTGCCGCAACCCAGAACCGGAAGTCAAGTTACCTCAATCTTTCATTGTATGGTTTAGCTCTGGGCTCTATATCATCTTTGTTGCTTTTCTCTGCATTTTCTAGGGTCTCAACATCTTTTTTGTATCGTGGTGATCAAAACTGGATGTGGTGTTCCAAGTGTGGTCTCACCAGTGTAGTATAAAGCAATACTATCACTTAATATAATCTTGAAACTATCCCTTTCTTGGTGCAATCTAGGACTTCATTATCTTTTCTGGCATCTGTAGCACACCCTAGAGCTTCAGCTGGAGTTAGGCTTTGTATGTTTTCAGTAGCCAAATTGACATACCCTTCTGTAATTCCAGCAGCTGACTAACTTGTCAAATTTATTAATTTTTTATGCTGCCCATCTCCCCTATAAGGACACTTTGAGTCATCTTGATCTTAGCCTCTAACATTTTTTGGGGGGGGTATGTACTGCTGTACTTTTTGATCATATACCAAGATATTAGGCAGCCATTTGTCTGGAATGGCCCAGAATTATAGTGGCTTCAGCCTATACCAGTTCATTGATTATGGTGATAGTAGAGATTGTCACGAGGGCTCTATTGGCATCTTTTAGCATCTCCATCTCTAATAAGCTTTGATAATAGGTTTCAAGGATTGACTCTAGCTAGTTTATACATGATCTTATGTTTCATATCAGCTGCTGTGCTCTGAAATGTGGCAGTGATGTTCCAGGTGTTGGCTGTACATCCAGTTGGTCTTCCTGGTTTTGTTGTGTAGTTGGTGTTTCTCAAGTTGTGAAAGCAGCTTTCTCTTCACTTTGTTGAAGTATTGGGTAACTAACCATTTCCCAGTTAATGAGGATGCAGGTCTTCGGCCCAGCAATAGGTCATTCATATATTTCATATACAGTATCCTTTCTCATTAAGTCTACTGTTACAGTAGCATTCTGTCAAACCAGATTCTTTTGTTTCATCCATGTATTGTTTTTTTGATAGCCCACTTATTGTCAGATTGTCCTGGTTCCTCAACATATGACGTGAATCTTGCTAATCCAGATAACATCTGGCATGACTCTACTTGTTTGTGTCATTCTCATATTTGAGGTAGAGAGCCCAACAGATTTATAGCCCAAGGACTCCTACTGGTCTTCTACATTAGAGGTGACACTGTAATTGCTATCCTATCTAGTCACTTCTTTTTGTTTTTATATATCTCAAAAGGGAGACAATAGCAAAATCTTTACTAATGAATTTTTTCCTTAATTGACTAGATTTGTGTAAGTACAGTTATACAATTATTATTAGTTTGGTATAGTGATTAAGATGGCTTGCCTGGAACCAGGTTAACTGTGAGTTTTACACCTCTCTTAGATATGAAAGCTGGCTGGAGTGCCAGTCACTCTGTCTCAGCTTGACTTACTAAACAGGGCTGTGGCTGTGGGAAAAATAGGAGACAGGAATATTAGGTACACTTACTGGCTGAAGTGTGTGTGTGTGTGTGTGTGTGTGTGTGTGTGTGTGTGTAAGTGAGAATGAGAATATATTGCAGACTAACTCTGCCTACTACCGGAAGTTCAATCTTGACCAGTTCAAGGTTGAGTCAGCCTGCCATCCTTCTTGAGGAGCCAGATTGTTGGGGGCAATATGTTGACTATGTAATAGCAATAGCATTTAGACCAGTGGTTCTCAACCTTTTTAATGCCGCAACCCCAACTGGTCGTAAGTCGAGGACTACCCAACCGGCTGTAAGTCGAGGACTTTCCCTGCCCGGGATCGCCGCGCATGCATGGTGCCACCCCCTGCTTCAGCCGAGGTGTAGCTGGCAAGCGGTAGAGATGGGGCAGGCCGACCACTGGCTGGACCACCAGCTGGCCCCAGCCCAAGGGAGGTAAGGTACCCGCCGGGCCCCACGCATGCCAGCAACCCTCCCTGCGCCCACCAGCCTCCCACTTCCCAGCCCTGGCCCTCTTTTACTTACATTTTTAGTAGTTGCTCAGCAGGGAGGGGTGGAAACTTCCAGACAGCTCGCCTTCGCTGCAGACAACTTGCAGCACCGTTTGCAGAATGGGACTTTTGGCGGGCTCAGCAGGGCAGAGACAGCCTGGACAATTCCTATTGGCTTTTAAAAGCCAATAGAATTAGACTCTATTCAAGAGAGTCTATTCTATTGGCTTTCAAAAGCAATAGAATAAAAGGGAGTAGCGCAGCTAAGGAAAAGGGGGGAAAAATGGTGGACTGCATTGTTTGGCGACCCCCGTGAAATGGTCGTTTGACCCCAAATGTGGTGGCGACCCACAGGTTGAGAACCGCTGACTTAGACTTATATCCAGCTTTACAGCCCTCTCTAAGGAATTTACAGAGTCAGCATATTGCCCCCAACAATCTGGGTCCTCATTTTACTGATCTCAAAAGGATGGAAGGCTGAGTCAACCTTAAGCCAATCAGGATTGAACTCCTAGCAGCCAGAAGAATTGGCATGCAATACTGCATTCTAACCACTGTGCTACAATGGCTCTGGCTGTAAACTTCTTAAAGAGTCTGAGGGGTCTATGACAACTCACCACAGTCAGCTCGCCACAGCCAACCCCCTGCAGCCAACTTGCTGCGGCTAATTCACCACGGCCAATTCCCCATGAGACAACTCCTCATGGGACAAGAGTTACACTAATATCAAAGAAATGATGGAATAGAATCATTAAAGAAAGGATGCCAAAGGAGGGACAAAATGAAATGTGAATGACAAAATTATTTTTAAAAATTATTCCAAATGATTAAATTAAATAGTTGAATTGTGTGATGATGTGGGGCACGGTGCTCTCCTCCCGAGTAGTTGGGTCAGCTTGCGCTGTTCCCGCCTTCTCTCCACTCCCCATGCTCGAGAATCAGGAGGGGGTGGTCCTTGCTCATCGCCTGAGCTCTGTCTCTCATGTTCATTGCTTAGCTTGTCTTGGTCATCCTGCCCATTCCTTCTTGCCTATCCCAATCCTGAAAGGCCCTGTCCTGCCTCGGCTTGCTCTTCCCATATTCCTCGAAAGCCAACGACCCCTCCCCCTCGAACTCTGTCAGCTCCAGTTCTGGCTCATCTTCCTCTGCAGATTCAGGCTCCAACGGGGGCATGACAAATTGTCCTGCAGGGAGTTATCCTGTGGCAAGTTGACCATGGTGAGTTATCCATGGCAAATTGGCCACGGTGATTTGGCTATGACGAGTTGACCATGGTGAGTTGGCTGCAGCAAGTTCTCCCATTCCGAAGTCTTAGTGCTGTTGTTGAGTATGTATACACACACACACACACACACACACACACACACACACACACACACACAAAGGCATACACACATACAGATAGTCCTAGATTTATGACCGCAATCAAGCCCAACATTTCTGTTGCTAAGCAAATTTTGTCCTGTTTTATGGCCTTTCCACTATAGTTGTCAAGTGATCACTGAATTTGTTTAAGTTATTAACATGGTTGTGACGTGAATCTGGCTTCCCATTGGCTTTGCTTGTCACAAGATTGCAAATGGTGATGACATGACCCTGGGACATGGCAACCATCATAAATATGAACCAGTTGGTCAAGCGTACAGATTTTGATCACTTGCTCATGGGAATGCAGCAGCGGTCATAAGTATGAAAAATGGATCATAATTCACTTTTTTTCAGTGCCATTATAACTTTGAATGGTTATAAATGAATGGTTGTTAAGTCAAGGACTATACAGGCACACACAAACACACATGAATATATGTCTGTATGTTAAAATAAGTAAAATATAAAAGTAAAATGTGATAAAAATCTAATGATAATCTAAAATATCTCTGAGTATGGTGTTTGTGGAACAATTTGGAATAGTGAGCTATCTGCTCTCAGATGTGAATAGAAGAATGTTACAAGTGAAGGCAAAGAGTGTTAGTTATATTAATTTGCCAGGCATTCTTAATAGAATTTGATATCCTTCAGGATTACCTTACAGACTTTGAATCAGAAGATCACTCTTTTGGTCCTTTTTGTCAACTAATATCCAAAATCTGATTCTGAAGACTAATCGTTAATAGCAGAGCCTTTGATCTGTAATGTCCCACAGAAGTCTCCTTAGATCCTCTATTAAAAGATCTTTTCAAAATTGGTGTCATCAGTGTTGTACGTATGTGTGTATATATCTATTTCATTGTGTTTTTTATTACCAAGAAAATAATCTGTTGATCAATTTGACAATCTACTAAATGATTAAAAAAATAGAAACTGTATTCAGATAAGGTAGATAAGCTTTGATCAGTAAAAAATATGGCTTAGATACTTGAATTCAGACTCCAGATGGTCAGTTTTGTATGTTGTATTTGCTCCTCCTTTTTTTGATATTCCTAGATTTTTAGCTGATTATGATAGTAAGAGTTGAATATGCAGAATTATTGTACCTTGGATTGGTTGGATTGAGTAACAGCTACGTATAATGTAATAATATAATGTTGGGGATGTGGCTATGTTGTCTATATTAAAAACATGGAAGAGCCCTTAGTATAAACTATAGCAGCCACACTGAACCAGTATATGGTATAAAAGTGACATTATACCAATATTTTAAAATTGGATACATTTCAAATGTAATTAAACTCTTGGTCAAATTATATGTTTATACATAAATTTGTGGTAGTCCTTGAATTACAATCACAATGGAAGCTGCCAATTATGTACACAAATTGTGACAGTCATTATATGAGGTACTCATGTGATCACCTTACTTAATGACCCCAATCACTGCTCTCCCTGTTACAGTTATTAGCAGAGCCTGAGGTGCCACAGATGTGGAGGAAGCCCTGGGAGACCTAGTGCATGCCCAGGTTTGCACTGAAGAACCTTCAGTTCAGATGCAGCCTCTGCTAGGCCTCCCAGGACCATCTCCACTCCCTGAAGCACCCCATGCTCCCCTTCCTGCATCATTGGAATTATGGCAACTCACAAAATGGTGTCCACTTCTGGGATAGTGAGTGCAGGCACAACTGCAGAATGGCCATGTGGCAAAGTAGCTGCCTCCCAAGGGAAATCTATCCAAAAAGGTAAGTGATCAAGCCATGATGGGGGTGGGGAAGACAGTGTAGAACCAAGGGGAGTGGGAAGCAGGACCAAGGCCTGCAGGACCCAACAAGGCAGGATAGGGGAGGGGGGAAAGCTGCAGCATTCTTATGATTGGTCATAAGGATGGGTGGATTGCCAAGTGGAGTACAAGGTGCTACAGTGGCCATAAGTTTGGATACGAGTCCTAAATCCCATTTTTCAATGCTATCTTAATTTTGAATGGTTGCTGAACGAATAGTCATAAATCAAGGACTGTCAGTAATATAAGACAGTTGTAGATTATTTGAGCATCAATCCTAAATCTGTTTGTAATTCTACCCTTCAAGTCTTCGTTCATAATACCTCTGTCTTTCATGTTTCTTTGGCTTATTTACTCACTTCTATCTTTTTGTAATTCCTTTTACTTGTTTTTCCTCTTCTTTTATTCTTTTCCCTGTGTTTACTGCAGGAGAACCAGCGCATGCAGCAGAAAATAGAATCTATATCCAAAGAGGTGTTTGACCTCCAGGAAACAGTTAATTGGAAAGATAAAAAAATTGGGGTATGAGATTTTTCTGAGGTGAAAGTGATTAGGAATAGAATGGCAAATGTTGACAAGATTGTTAATGGTTTCAGTATGCAGAGGATCTGAATATAGTAACTACAAATACAGCAATAAATTAGATTAAATAAATTAATGCTGGATACTAGATAATAAACAAATGCCATTCAAGAAGATATGCTGCATGCATGAATACATTTATGATAAAGCAGAATGATTGCTCAGTACTTCCAGTGTTGCAGTTAAGTTTTGTATTTGGATGCTAGTTGTTTATGAGTAAAAATGAAATATAGATTTGAGAATGGTGGACATGAGCCACCTATTTAGTGACTCTGTAATATACTGTGGGTGCAATTCTCTCTTCACTCCATAGTTTTTAGGAATCTACTGATTGATGGACTGCTGGGGAAACTATTTAAAAGCTTACCAATTTACTAACTGATTGGCTTCTGAGAAGTAGGTATCCTATAAAAATCTAGCATACAAAGCAGAATCAGGGCCCTGAAGAGAAATAGGAAACTATATGGTTTCCTCTTTTTCTTTAATATTCTTCAGTAAAAACTCAGTTGACAACATTGTTTCATTTAAACTGAAAATCATAATACCATACATATAATTTTGTAGGCCTGCTATCAAATCCAAATGTTTATATCTGAAAATCTTAGTGCATCACAGAGAATTATATTTTCTTGCTCTAGGTTTTGGATAAAAATTTGAATAATGTGGTTTGGTACAGATTTAATTGCAAAGTAGAATTACACAAATTCATGGTTTTAATTTAGTTGCATTGATTTTAGTAGGTCTGAACTGCATATGACAAATTCAATTCAACCCTAATTTATGCGATATATTTCATATTTTATCAATTCCACGTTGAATCCTAGCATCGGGATTTATTTGTGAGAATGATAGGCTTAGTGTGGAAGAAATACTACACCAGAATTTTATTTAAAGTTTATATGTAATATAATGAACAAGACTAGATACATATTTGACAGATCCATTATAACTGAGGAATTCTTTGGCTAAATATGGCAAACACAGGATTTTTTTGTGGCAAACACAGGATTGTGTAAAGCTTTATTTTCTTCTTTTTGTTTAGTACTCTTCTTGTAAATACAAGAAATCTCTCTTATCTATCACACATTCTTTTTTCTATACTATTTTCTTTGTGCTACTTGGCTGTAACCAGGCTCTAGAGAGACAAAAAGAATATTTTGACTGCATTAGAATTGAGCGGGATGAGCTCAGAGATGAGCTGGCTGACCTGAAGGAAACAATGAAGAGAGGAGAGGTATGTTAGCAGTAGTAGTTTTTACAAATGTAGATTGGGGAATCAGGCCATAGGTAGTATAATGGAAAATACAGCATCATTACCACATCATTTTCTCCTTTATACTAATTCATGTATGGAAACAATGGTGTTGTGACTTTTGATTATGTTAGCTAAGTAAATAGCTTATCTGTAAAATAAAATTTTCTGATAAATATTGTTAATGTTGCTTTTCCCCCACCCAGAAACATGGATTAGTAATAATCCCAGAAGTCACTCCAAATGGTGATATTAACCATAAACCAGTAATTGGTGCAATTACAGTTGTATCACAAGAAGCTGCTCAAGTTTTGGAGTCAGCAGGGGAAGGACCATTAGGTAAATAAGCATTTTCTTAAAAGATTAACATTAAATTGGGGCTTCAGCGCATATAAATTTAAAAAATTATACCAAAAGAATTGTACTTTTAGACAGATCAGCCTTTTAGTTCTGTGTGATTAATTCCAGCACTCCATAAATCTTTTCAGGTTTACAAAATGTCTATAAACATACAGTAAATTTTTGCTTTTAAATATTTAAATTTAAGTCGCTGTGTATTAGAATACTTCCTGTAGAAAGTATTCCAAAAACAAACTGCTGCATTGGGATAGCTGGCTGGAAACTGACAAGACTAATCAGTTTCACATCTTAGATTTGTGTTTGTCTTCTAACCACACCCCTCCTCTTTGGAATTTTCACCTTGGCGCTGGGATAATTAACCAGAAGGGAATTAATATTACATTCATAGGAGAGGATCAAATTACAAAAGAGTAAGCAGGCACTCAATGGGGAATACACTGGGCTGTTTGTTAGTGTCCTCACATCTGCTGAAATAAGCATATTCTTTCGACTATATTCCCCATTGTGTGTTTGTTTACTCTCTTGTAATCCGTTCTCTCCAACCTCTCCACTGGCCAATGGAGGGGGGGGAAACAATAGATACAATCTATACTGACTACAATGGTGATCACATGACTGACAGGTATTGCAAACGTTATAAATACAGGCATTGGTCGTAAAGTTATTTTTCAGCACTGTTGTGACTTTGAACAGTGCCTGAACAAGTAAGGTAAGTGTGGATTACTATATTAAGAGTTAATTAATCTAACTGCTTAGTTGGGCCCCATGCCTTAAGTGACAATTTTTAAAGTGATTTTGCTGTAATTCAGTGATGGTTTGCTCAAGTCACCCTCCTCAAATTTTATTTGTACTTGCAAGTTAAAGATAATAGCCTTAATCCAGTGGTTCTCAACCTTTTTAATGCCGCGACCCCCCACCGGTCGTAAGTCGAGGACTACTCAACTGGTGCAGCACCATTTGCAGAATGGGATTTTTGGCGGGCTCAGCAGGGCAGAGACAGCCTAGACAATTCCTATTGGCTTTTGAAAGCCAATGGAATTAGACTCTATTCAAGAGAGTCTATTCTATTGGCTTTCAAAAGCCAATAGAATAAAAGGGAGTAGCACAGCTAAGGAAAAGGGGAAAAAAATGATGGACTGCGTTGTTTGGCGACCCCCGTGAAATGGTCGTTCGACCTCAAATGGGGTCCCGACCCACAGGTTGAGAACCACTGCATTAATCCATCTTTTTTAAAATTTTGTGTGCTAAGTTTTGCTTAAAAAGATCCTACTTGTCTTATTGTGAATTTTTAGGTGAAATTCTAACCACATAAAATTATTCCTCAAAAGCCTTCCAATTTGTGAAATTAAGCTATTTGTTTGTTCTAGATGTTAGACTACGAAAGCTAGCAGGAGAAAAGGAAGAGCTATTGTCACAGGTAAGTCTCCTGAAGGTTTCTAAAGCAATAATGAGATAAACAACTTCCCATAATGAAGTTCTAATTAAATAACAGAAAATACTGTTGCTTTATGACCTCCACAGTTAGCTTTGTTTGTTTAGGCCAGTGGTGGCGAACCTATGGCACGGGTGCCAGAGACGGCACTCAGAGCCCTTTCTGTGGGCACGCGCACCGTCGACCCAGTCCTAGGCCTTCAGCTGGGTTTTATAAAACCTTTTTGCTTTAGGCCTCTGCCACCATGTGCAAAAAAAAAAAAAAAAGGTTCAATCAGTCAATTTCAACTTCTCACAGAAAAAAAAAAGATCTTGCAAAGTTGGAATTGATTGATTGAACTTTTTAGTCCCACTCAATCTGCCGTTACCACCGCAGCCATGCCCATCCAATTGGCCACACCCACCAATTGGCCACACCCAGCCAATGGGCCACACCAACCCGGCACTCAACGATGCATAAGTGGGTTTTGGGTTGCAGTTTGGGCACTCAGTCTCTAAAAGGTTCGCCATCATTGGTTTAGGCTATAATTCTGTTGCTTCAGCAATAATCCAGGAACCATAGGATTCATGTTTTTTTTCTCTATTCTCTTCTGACTGTTTATTGATTGAGAATGATCCAGGAGGAGCTTTATATATGTTGAATTCTAAGCTTATAATGGGAAACTTGTAGGAAAAAGTTAAGCTGGAGATTTCTGCGTTTTACAGGTGAAAGATCAGATTGCTGTACATTCTTTTAAGTACAGCAATCTGATCTTTCATCTGTAAGACAGTTTTCTCTAGCTTAACTTTTTCCTACAAGTTTCCCACTATAAGCTTAGAATTCAACATACATAAAGCCCTTCCTGGATCATTCTCAATCAATAAATAGTCAGAAGAGAATAGAGAAAAAAAAAACATGAATCCTATGGCTCCTAGATTATTGCTGAAGCAACAGAATTATGGCCTAAACAAACAGAGCTAACTCTGGAGTCATAAAGCAACTGTATTTTATTATTTAATTAAAACCTCATTACGGGAAATTGTTTAGCCTTTGAATAGTATGCTTAGTGCCACATCCATTTAGTCTTTGAATAGTATGCTTAAAGCATATCCCAAAAAATGGTGGGTATAGGCAGAACAAATGTACATTTGTAGTGATGTCATATAGACTTTAAGTTTAACTCAGTATAAGAATATGTAGATATCTACTTCTTAATCATGCATTTATTTATTTTTTCTCCTTTTGTTACTAAAAATTGCATTTTGCTAGCAATTTTGGAGATTGTTAAGGGCCATTGCAAAATCTTTTAAGAGCAACAGATTGTGAATTTCTGCGGTATATAGCAAATATTTCATAATATGTATATGGCAAAACTTTTGTTCCAGTTAAAACCATTCATATAACATGGCAGTTTATTCAGTGCAGATATTCACAACTATTTTTTCTATAATCTTAGCATTTTAAGGGATATAAATATCCATAACTTAATTGCCAATTTGTTGGAATAGTAGCATCCTGTTCAGACAAATCTTGTAGATTTATTTAAAGCTGAAAACAATCAACTGAATTCCTGATTATAGCAGTAGATGCTAATTGTTAAATATGATATCCATTCATTTTAGATAAGGAATAAATAAAGTTTGAAGTGAAATACTGAAAATATTGTTTTATTTTAATTTCAGATTAAAAAACTGAAATTGCAGTTGGAAGAGGCACGGCAGAAATCCTCTAGACCTGAAAGCATAAATGCTGATTTAACAGGACTGGAAAATGGTTCTGATTTGCAATTAATTGAAATGCAGAGTATGTTCATTCATTCAGTATTCAAAGAAGATGCATTTTGATGTAGTCATGTCTTGATTTCTATGCAAATTTTCAGTTTGTGTTTTGCAATTTTATACCAGATGATAAAACATATTTAATGACAGTATTGTATATAGTTTTAGATGTATAAGGTAGAATTTAAAATGAGGGAATATTAAGGAAAACAGGCAAAGTTTGGTACCAGTTGTGTGAAATTTATAGAGTTCTTGTCATAACCAGAGAGAATGGAAACTGCAGAAAGAAAACTTGTTTCTTACATTCTCTCCTGACATGGTGAGAAATGTCTTGACAGTTAATTTGTATAATATCTTTTGATCTACCATTCACAATTTTTAAAATAACTACATTTCCATTGTATATAAGATTAAAATATTATTACTCAAGTCATTCTGTTTTTTATATTCCAATAAAAGTGTTGACTAAACTCCTGAGATCTTAAGCATTCACCTCATAAACTTTCAGGAATATTGAAAAATACCAATCTCCAGAGTTACCTAATTGTCACATTTAGTGCTCTGTTTTCCTCCACAACAAAAATTTGCAATAAGTAAAGGTTTGATTTGAAGTGAATTCGGAAGTTTGGTTTACAATTCTTAAATTCTAAATTTTCTTGTCTCTAGGAGATGCCAACAGACAAATAAGTGATTTCAAATTTAAACTTTCAAAAGCTGAACAAGATATAACTACTTTGGAACAAAATGTAGGTATCTTTTAAGATGTTGATATATTCCAAACTTAAGGGCCATACACCATCCCTCCCCCATTTTTTTCCCCTACTTCATCACATAATGTGCCTCTTTTACACCACTAGTATGGGAATCCTATCATCTGTTATCAGGCCAATGATGTACAGGATTTGATATTTTCTTAAGAGGATCTTTCCTCAAGCAATAAGCACTGTATATATGAGTTGATGGCCAGGAAAGATATTTGGGCATCTCAAGTTAAAAGAAATGAAAAGAGGACTATGTCTGATGTAGAAACAGTGCACATAAACATTTACATTGGGAAAATCTTCACTTATAATCAGTGATAATATCAATGCCATGTTTGTATTTCATTTGAATTAATTAGTATTCTGTTGAGTTTCTGGGTATGATTATATCATTTGAATATGTATTGTTGACATATTTGTATTGATTCCTTGGAAGGAACAATGAAAAGTAAATGCTTTTCATTTAGTGCTTTTAAAGAAAGGTCAAAATTACATTGAATCTTCCTTGCATATGGGAAGATAAACAAATCATTGGTCTTTTAGGTTTTAAGACTTGAAGGACAGGTGGTGAGATATAAAACTGCTGCAGAAAATGCAGAAAAAGTAGAAGATGAACTGAAAGCAGAAAAGAGAAAACTTCAGCGAGAAGTAAGTGTCTCTTTTTTCTTTCAGTGAAAGCAGATTAGTAATAGTATAGTAATTGAGCTGTGAATAATGTATGCTATATTTAAAGGTAGCTTGAGATTGTTATTTCAAAGTAATATAAATACTCTGTCCATAGGTTTCTTGCAATTTTAGTGTGAAATTGTGTGTTCATAGGACAGCCAGAAACCAAATCATTCGAAGAATTCAGCATCCAAGATCAGGCTTATTAACATCTAGCAATAAAATAATCCTTTTCCAACAATGCAACTTTCCTCCATCGCCCCCTTGAATCCTGCAAATGGGAATATGAGGTCTCTGGGAGGCAGACACTTCCAGTTTCTGCCCTTAACATCTCTCATTCATATAGGTAGTTTCAAAATGACAAAATTGATTTTGGCTCAGTTTTGGACCAGTTGGAGGGAAAGTTACGGGTGAAAATAAGAATAGTTTACTTCCCAAAAGACATTAAACTCCCATTTTTATCCTTAAAAAAGCAAACAGTATCTACTACTTGGCATTTATCATTGCTTATTCAGGTAATGATACTATATTGTCATGAGACTTTTCTATAATCCCCTGCTGGTTTGGAAAATGAATCCCTTGTTTTAAAAATTGGAAAGAGTAAAATATACAGGAAGGCAAATGTTCATTTTATATTCAGGAGCTACCTAGACTAGGAAAGGCCTTTTCTCTGGTTGTAAAGGTACTTTCCACTTAATTTCCTAAAGGAGTTAGGAGCTGCAATAAGAATCTTAAGTCTATTTTTTAATAAAAGACCTCATGAAAAATATTAGAAAATCAGAATTTGGAGCTATTTACCTAGAACATCAATTTATCCCATGGCTGATGATGCAGGATTTACATAAACTGAGAAGAAGGTGCTTTCTGAAAGCATATATCAGATCATATATATGATGAAACTGCCATGCCATTTCAGGAACCAAAATAAAATTATATTATCCAATACATAATCAAATATTTAAGATTTCAAGTTTCATCTGTCTAGTCTTCTGAAACATCACATTTTCATTATCATATTTCAAATAAGATACTAGGAAGAAATTATAGAACTTTTATACAAGTAGTCCTCATTTAGTGATCACAATAGGGACCAGCAGTTTAATCATTAACTTTGCAACAGCATTTATGATTTCACTTAAGCTTTCCTGTGCTGTACAAAACTGCAAAAGTTATAAATGCGAGGATTGGTTGCAAAAGTTACTTTTTCATCATTGTCACTAAATGAGGACTATCTGTACTATTGGGTGACAGAATGGTCAAAATAATAATTCTATGTTTTATTTCTATTCCATGGAATCCTAAAGGATCTTGTGAATCAAGGATAACAAATGAATTTACCAATTACCAGTGGGATTATTTTTCTTACTCTTTGTTTTAACTTTCTTGTCCTTATGAACATATTCATAGCATGACTTGTCCACTTCCAGCTTAAATGGGCCAACTAAAGCTGGATCCCATATTTCTTTTGAACCCTAGGCTACTTGTATTTAATCTGTACTATCTAAATAAGAATTAATTAGCTTATGTTATTTTGATTTAATAGTATTTATTAGACTAATATCTAGAATGGCATAGCAGGTCTGTGAGTACATCTGGAGGTTTATCATCTTGAATCATTTAAGAGAATTGCCTTATTATTATTCACCAATCTCCTAATCAGTGAGAAGGATTTCTTAGTTGACCTTAAGTCAAAGCTGTTAGAATTATATATCTATGGTCTCAAGTGTGTTAAGAAATCTGGATGGAAGTTTGTAAGATCAGTCTATTTATTGGATTCCTCAAGCATGCATTTCTGCTTAATCTTGCCATAGTCCACAGATTTTCCCCAATCTCTTTTCTAACCTCAGCAGCTTCCTTCAAGATTCTGGTATTGTTGAACACCTGTTTCGGAATGACAGGTTGTGAGCGCTTAACAAATTAAAAGATCTCTTTAGTCCATTGTGGTTCTTAAATTAGATTCAGATTTATCCCAAATACAAACGAAAAGCAAAACGTTCAGCATATAGTTCTAATGCCATCTCACTTTTCTATCTTCTTTGAGAAGTGATGCATGTTGGATAATCAGATACACAATATGTAACATGGACTGGAACATCTGAGATATTACAGTCTCTTTAGCTCCTTTGTTTATTCTCCAAGAGCAAAGTTTCCAATAACACCTGTACCATATTTAAGCAGAAATACATAAACTATATCCTATTCCTTTAGTGAGGCTAAAATCATTGAATTAAATACTATAAAGTTTTTCAATCTTAGTATGAAAGCATTCCTATCCTGAAAAGGGTACCTTTGAGGGTATTCACCACAGAATATTAGAAAGTTACAGGTAAGCTGAGTTACCTGTACAGGTAATCCTCGACTTACAACAGTTCATTTAGTAAATGTTCAAAGTTATAACAGCACTGAAAAATGTGACTTATGAATGTTTTTTAGAGTTACAACCTTTGTAGCATCCCCAGAATCATGTGATCAAAATTCAGATGCTTGGCAATTGATTCATATTTATGACCTTTGCTGTGTCCCAGGGTCATGTGATCCATTTTTACAACCTTCTGACAAGCAAAGTCAATGGGGAAGCCAGATTCACTTAACAACCAGGTTACTAACTGCAGTCATTTATTTAACAACTGTGACAAGAAAAGTTGTTAAATAGGGCAAAATTCACTTAACAAATGTCTCACTTAACAACAGAAATTTTGGGTTCAATTGTGCTCATAAGTCAAGGACTACCTGTATTTGGGATATGTTTTGCCCACTCAGTGATTTTATTCCCAAGCTAGCACATTTCTTGAAAACAGAGTAAGAAACACAAAGGGAAAAACCAACCTATCAAAAATAGTGCCAACCTATCAAAAATAGAAATACAAGTTAAGATAGGCAAGAAAATGGTAAGTGAACACCTGTCCAGCCTAGACAAGTTCAAATCACCAGGACCAGATGGATTACACCCCAAGGTTCTTAAGGAACTGGCAGATGTGATCTCAGAACCACTGAACTATATTTTTCAATGATCCTGGAGCACTGGGGAACTACCAGAGGACTGGAAAAGAGCTGATGTAGTTCCCACCTTCAAAAAAAGGGGAAAAAAAGGATCCAGGAAATTACAGACCTATCAGCCTGACCTCAATACCTGGGAAGATTCTGGAAAAGATAATCAAACAACGAATCAGCAAACAACTAGAATCAGAAAACAAAGTCATTACTAAAAGCCAACACAGGTTTGTCAAAAATAGATCATGCCAGACAAATCTTATTGCATTCTTTGACCAAGTGACAAAATTAGTGGACCAGAGGAATGCTGTGGATATAATTTACTTAGACTTCAGTAAGGCATATGACAAAGTAGACCACAACCTACTACTTGATAAGAGAAAAATGCGGGTTAGACAGCATCACCACCAGATGGATCCGTAGCTGGCTGACCAGCCGTACTCAGCGTGTGGTCCTCAATGGCATCGCATCTACATGGAGGGAAGTGTGTAGTGGAGTGCCCCAGGGCTCTGTTCTGGGCCCAGTGCTCTTCAACATCTTCATCAACGATCTGGACGAGGGGACAGATGGGGAACTCATCAAATTTGCAGACCACACCAAGCTGGCAGGAATAGCCAATACTCCAGAAGATAGGCTTAAGATATAGGAGGATCTGGACAGACTTGAACATTGGGCGCAATCTAACAAAATGAAATTCAGTGGTGAAAAAAGTAAGGTTCTACATTTAGGCAAGAAAAAACAAATGTACAGGTATAGTATAGGGCAGTGCTTCTCAACGTTTGTGTGATGGCGCCACCCCCATGTGCGGCGCACATGCGCGGCGCCGCCCCCCGAGGGGGAAAAATGGCGGATCACCTTGTTTGGCGACCCCGAGAAATGGTCGATCGACCCCAAATGGGGTTGCGACCCATAGGTTGAGAACCGCTGGTATAGGGGGTACCTTGCTCAATAGTAGTAAATGTGAGAGGGATCTCGGAGTCCTAGTGGACAATCATTTAAATATGAGCCAGCAGTGTGCTGCAGCTGCCAAAAAAGCCAACACAGTGCTAGGCTGCATTAACAGAGGGATAGACTCAAGATCTTGTGAAGTATTAATACCACTTTACAATGCCCTGGTAAGGCCACACTTGGAATAGTGCATCCAGTTTTGGTCACCACGATGTAAAAAAGATGTTGAGACTCTAGAAAGAGTACAGAGAAGAGCAACAAAGATGATTAGGGGACTGGAGGCTAAAACATATAAGGAACGGTTGCTGGAATTGGATATGTCTAGTTTAGCAGTGTTCCAATATCTCGGGCTGCCACAAAGAAGAGGGAGTCAAGCTATTCTCCAAAGCGCCTGAAAGCAGGACAAGAAGCAACGGATGGAAACTAATCAAGGAGAGAAGCAACCTAGAACTAAGGAAAAATTTCCTGACAGTTAGAACAATTAACCAGTGGAACAACCTGCCTCCAGAAGCGATGAATGCTCCAACACTGGAATTTTAAAGAAGAAACTGGACAACCATTTGTCCAAAATGGTATAGGGTTTCCTGCCTGAGCAGGGGGTTGAACTAGATGACCTCCAAGGTCCCTCCCAACTTTATCATTATTATTAAACATAACATTTTTAACTTACTCTTGAATTTCGACTCTCCTTGGTTTAGTCTTAACCTGTCATAGCCAGTCCAAAGCCAGATACTGATAGATGGAACCACTGCTATGGTTAGGATCCATTGAATAATGGTTTGATTAGAAGCATCTTCCAATGTTTTTAGAGAAGACCATATCTCCAGAAAAGAAGTGGAGATGTCTTCTGAACCACACGTAGGCCTTTCTGAAGCTAGCTGACCATCTTCATTTGAGCAGAAAGGGAAAACTTATGAATAAATAGTGAACTTAAGTTTATTCTGAGAAAAAGGATGGGTTTCTTCTTCATCTATAGATAACTGGACAGTGGGATTTCTTTGAAGCTATTAAATGTAGTGCTGCTCTATTACCATTAGAGGTCCTCTGAAAAGTTTTTTTTTAATATATATAGTCACTTGAATTGTATATTTAGTCAAAATGATGGCACTGCAAGTCTAGAACTTTTGTAGGAAATGAACTACTTAAATCCTTTCTACTGTGGGTCTTGGTAGCTTTGTTGCAGTTGCCTTCAATGGATGATAGAGAAATGCAATTTGTTATTCTTGCAGTTTCTCAGTTGCTTCTTACAGGGTTGACAGTGTCCTACTTTTTGTTTCAGTCTCTCAGAAAATGGCATTGGAGCATTTTTGCTTTGACTTTTGGGGATTACTTTGGGAGACCTAAAGGTGCTTTTCAAAAGGCAACTGGACTTTAGTTTTTCCTTGAAGATGTTTTGCTTCTTATCCAAGAAGCTTCTTCAGAAGAAGCTACTTGGATGAGAACTGAAATGTCTTCAAGGAAAAACAAAGTCCAGTTGCCTTTTGAAAAGCACCTTAAAGGATAACCATGACCTGGATACTCCATATACTTGGGAGATGTTAGAAGGCTAATTCTTATGTCCTACATTAGCATCTGAAAGAATGGGAAAGTAACAAACATAGACTTATTTTCCATAGTTTGACATGAGACAAAACTGAGTGATATTTTTTCCCAAGAAGCAGGTTGGACATCTCAAAAGCCTTTGAATATCTCCAAGTGCATGAGGTATCATTGGTTTTGGGCATGATTTGCTGCCAATTCTGGGGATTGGAATTTGGATTTGGTGATATTTTATCTGAAGAGTAAGTTTCCATCCTGGAGCTCATCCTGGATTTGGCATGGGCAGTTGAGTAGCCTTCATAAGTGGAATTTTTAACCAGTGTTGGCAAATAAGAGAGCTTCTATTGATAACAAATGTGACAATTTCAAGATTAGATTACTGCAATTTAGTTTTTCATGTGTGGCGCTTTCGAAACTACAGCTGGCTCAGAATGAAGTGGAATAGTGAATGAAAACAGGTGGCTTGTGTGTATTGCCAAAAAGCATACCCATATGCCTCCCCTTCTAAGTGATTTCTTTACCTTTGGGTTTGATAGTGGACATTAAAATAGTGTAAAGAAAAGCAACTGAGTTATGGCTTACATGAAAATTTCAGTATTTGTCCATTTCATAACTTAGCTGCTGCTTAAGTTTATCTTGTGTCACCCAGTTTAGTTGTAGTTTAACCTGATGCTGCTAAATGTAGGGCTAAAATGCTTTCAAACTTTTGTAAGCAAAGAGTGTTTTCGATTTGCTAAATTACTTGGGGACTTTAGTTCAATAAAAAAGCTATAACAAAATATTTTGTTGTTTTATGATATATTTAGATGGTACATTGATTTTCTCAAGTCTAACAGTTTTGTCTCTTTTTTTTTTTTCAGTTAAGAACAGCATTGGATAGGACAGACGAAATGGAGATGACCAACAGTCACTTAGTGAAACGGTTAGAGAAAATGAAGGCAAATCGAACTGCACTGCTATCTCAACAATAGAAAGGAAACTAAAGAATGCACTGCTCCTGGAAATGCCTGAGCTTATTTTATATACAGGCTTTCCTTGGCATAAATTTTAAAACAAAGCTGTTCAGTGAGTTTAGTTTCATAATATTTTAACTTGAGCAAATGGGAAAAACAGCTTACATATTTATGCAAGTGATGAGTTCTAGCCGCTTAATTCAGGAATCTGATGGAGCCCAATTCTCTATAGTTGACTTATTTTATATAAACTATTTTCACATTTGTGAAATCAAGTTTATTCTCTGAGTTATTTTCAACTGCTTTAATGCTTGGTGCTTGGAAAGAGATGCACGAATTCAAGAGTATTTGCTGCACAACTAACTAACCAATTATGTGCTCGAGATCATCACACGGCACAAGTGCCTTTTAATACAGTGCAATGAGAACTTCAGAGATCAGAACAAAATATAATGTGGAATCAAATACCATTTATTTTAAAACACAATTGGAGTCTTGTTTGCTAAACTTTTTACATTTTGATGGAAAACACTTTTGTAAAATATTTAAATTTATATAAAATAGAAATGACTTGTATAAAATCTGCTTTATTGCATGGTGATGCACACTCGAGATTTCAATTTTAAACAGTACCATCCCTATTTTTAATGTAAGAATAGTGAGCAATATTTGTTATCGTACAGTGATGTGTATGCTGCTTAAGTGTGCAGTGAAATGTGGGTGGGAGAAATGTGGCAGATATAAAACTATTAAATGGACACTTTGCATAGCATGGGTGTGTCTTGTCTTAATGTTCTCTGGCATTTTCATCGTTGAGCTTTTCATTGTGCTGATTCTGAAAATTTTGATCCTCCCACATAATTCAAAACATTACAGACTGAAAATGTTTCAGTTATTTATTTTGAATGATAAACTTGACAGAATATAATTAAGTAAAAACTATGTCAGCAGAAGCTGTTTATAAACACTGTGATATTACTAATAGAAAATTGCTAATTTCTATTACAGGTGGTCCTCAACTTACAACAGTTTGTTTAGTGACCATTCAAAGTTGTAATGGCCCTTAAAAAAGCGACTTATGACCATTTTTCTTATGAGCATTGCAGCATCCCCATGGTCACATGATCAAAATTAAGATGCTTGGCAACTGACTTGTATTTATGATAGTTGCAGTGCCCCAGCATCATGTGATCACCTTTTGCAACCTTTGGACAAGCAAAGTCAATGGGTAAGCTAGATTCACTTAGCAGCCATGTTATTAACTTAAATGCAGTGATTCACTTAACAACTGTGGCAAGAAAGGTCATAAAATGGGGCAAAATTCACTTAAAAACTGTCTTGCTTAGTAGCAAAAATTTGCTTTCAATTATGATCATAAGTTGAGGACTATCTATATCTCTATATAAAATTTGAGTGATCCTTTACATTCAAAAATGCTCTAATCATCTATTTCCAAACTATCTGCCAACAGAAATACTAAAACAGCATCAAGTAGAAAAAGAATTGTGATCTTCCAATTTGTTCAATATACACCTTCATCAGTTGTATGATTCATTAGGAGTTTAATTAAGTTTTCTTTATTTGCTCACTATACAATATGTGGATATTGTGAAACATTGAACAATAGTTGATTAATTTTCTGACCATTCAATAGTTATTTTTACGCAAAAGTTAAAATACAGTACTATTTAATGATTGATTAAAGTTATAATGATGAGAAAGAAAATAGATTAAATAGTCCTAGAATAAATATTTGTATTTAGCACCGCTCAAAAACTTTGTACAAGTCAAGTAGATTAGCAAGTTGCAAAATATTGCCATCTTCTCTAAAATTTGTAGGAGGTAAAAGGTATGACCGAAAAGCTTTGTAGAGTATATGTTCTACTGTCCATTTCCATGATCTCATACTTTTTCCAGGCTCTTCAACCTGTAAGAGCAGTGTTAATAATACCTCAGAGTTCATAGTAAAGTTTAAAACATATGCATTAATGAGTAACAATATAACATGTCTTTTTAAATTCCTAGTTGATAATTCAATTTGTAAAAGTCATTACACTAATGCAGCAATAATCAGAGATATGCCTGTGTCTAACAGTTAATTTGTTCAATCTCTCTTCAATTTTCAAATCGTTTATCGTTTTTGCAATGATTATAAATTATAAATTAATTACAAAAATCCATGCAAAAATGAACATTTTGCAAGTTTCCCCTTTCAAGTGTTACCTATATTGTGATACAAATGAATGACAAATACAAATATTCAAGGATAGGGTTTTTTTTTTTACTTTACGTAACAGTTTAAGCAAAGTGGGTAGACTGAATAAAATGCAGAGAACAAAATTCCCATAAGGTCTAACAATTGGTTGCTTTAGTACTGTGGTCCCCAACCTTTTCAGCACCAGGGCCCAGTTCCATGGAGAGAGGTTTTTTGGTGGACTGGGGGAAGGATGTGGTTTCGTGTACTGCCTTGCATCTTGTATGTGCACAGATGGGGCTTTGCTTGTTTGAATAGCCTGGTTTCTGGTGTGCCACAGACTGGTGGTAGTCCAGGGACCCCTGCTTTAATATATGAGTAATTCTCAACTTGCAACATTTAGTGACTGTTCAAAGTTACAAGAGCACTGAAAAAAGCGACTTATTACCATTTCTGCCACTTAACAGTGGTAAAATGGAGTAACCCATTTAGCAACAGAAATTTTGATGTCAGTTGTAAGTCAAGGACTACCTATACTTGAATTCATCTGTAACATGGAAGTGCTAGACATCTTACAATAAAACATTTAGCATCCATAAAAATTAAGAAGCTATATGTTCATTCTTTTTCACAGCAAATATGTATAATAAATCTTGTTATCCAAGGCCAAGAAATGAAAGATCAAATTATAAACTTCTACTGAATGATACTGGATAAATTTAATTGCTTGCATTTCAGCAACAGTCAGTATCCATATACTCCTAAAATGTTTGTTGCCATGACTTTTAACTGGCTAAATAGTGTATTGTAGGACAACAGTTTTTTACTTTCTCACCGCAAGCTTCACAAGTAAATGGGGAAGCTAGCAGGAATTTGAAGGAGGGAAGAAGAAAGGGAAGGAAAAGGGGGAGGGAAGAACCAAGGAAGAGGGAAGAATGGAAAATTTCTGATGCTCTTTATTGACTTCGCAAAATAAAGCTCAATGGAGAAACTGGCAGGAAATGGGAAGTTGCTCCCACTCCCACTGCTTTTTTTGCCCACCCATGGTTATTGTTTCTCTTGTTTAGATAACACAAGAGGAAACACCTCTGAATCAATGATCTAACTGGGTTGTCTAGTGAGGTTCTAAGCATAAACTTTAGCCATCATACATAGGTGGTCCTCAGTTCCCAAATAGCAACCATTCTGTATTACAAGGGCAATGAAAAAGTAGGTTTAAGATGGCCATTATAGCATTTCTATGGTTACATGATCACAATTTGGGCACCTCACTACTGGCATACACAACTCATGACTCATGGCCACATGATCATCATTTGTAACCTTCATAGCTGGTTTCTGACCAGCAAAGTCAAGGAGGAAACTGGCAGGAAATGTGCTGTCACACTATGACTGCAGCAGAATCAATATAAATCCAGTGCAGTTACAAGATGTTTCATTTAATAACGCCACTTAGCAATAGACTTATCAATTCCAGAGGACTACCTCTAATCAAACCTCTAGTAAAAAAATTCATTAGCAAAAATATACCCAATATTAGTGTCAAGTATTCATTTCATTTCTTAAAGTTTCTACCCAGTACCCTTTTTTGACATGAGTATATAAGGAACAGGAAGCAGCAAATGAAGTTAGGGAAAATCACATCAAATACCTGTTCAGTTAGCACAGGAGTTCCCCCCCCCACCAGGGTTATGTGCTCTTTCCATTACTCTTATCTCTATATACCAGTTACTGCATCTCAACGGATCCCTCTGTTAAAGTACTGAAATTGGCAGATGATATAACAATCATTGGTCTCATTCGAGACAATGAGTCTGCATATAGACAAGAGGTAGATCAACTGGCCCCATGATGCAACTGGAACAATCTAGAGCTGAACACTCTTAAAACTGTAGAGATGATAGTAGATTTTAGAAGCTCTCCTATTCTACTTCCTCTTATAATATTAGGCAACACAGTATCAACAGTAGAGATCTTCAAGTTTCTAGGTTCTATTACCTCCGAGGACTTGAACACCTAACATTAGAAATATAATTAAAAAGGCAAAACAAAGAATGTTCTTCCTGCGTCAACTCAGAAAGCTCAGATTGCCCAGGGAACTGCTGATACAGTTCTACAGAGGAATTACTGAGTCTGTCATTTGTATCTCAATAACGGGTTTAGGGCGTTTAGGCAAGGACCTTTGGCTGCACTTCCTTCACCCCCTGCTGCCCGCCTCAACCCATTTACAGCCAGCTTTCCTCCTCTGCTGGCCCTCCCCCAGCCATTCTCCACAGTCAGTGGGCCCCTGGCCCTCTGTCTTGGGCCTGGCCCATTCACCCAGACACTGTTTGACCTAGGTGTTCGGCTGCATGGGACAAATAGCCTCCAGCCAAGCAGGTGGCAGGCAGAAGTAATGGTGCAGCGGGGACAGTGTGGAATTGGCAATGGGCAATCATAGGGACTGTGAGAGGGCAGTATAAGATGCAAGGATATTTTGAAAAGTACTGTGGCTGCTCCGCAAGTTTTGGGGCCTTGCAGATCTGTGACCAGGACCAGAGGAAGGCGGAGTGGCGGCAGTAGTAGCCGCCACTGGGGGGAGCAGAAAGGGAGGGAAGGAGAGGTGCCTCAAGGGGCTTGACAAAGACAGTTTGGCTTGCAATTCAAATGAGGAAGGAAGAACAAAGCCAGTGCGGTTTCTGGCGTTGGGGAGCATGAGGGTGCATGCAGGCAAGCAGCAAGACAGGCTTGGCTTCTGCAATTGTGAGAGGGTGTACAGGCCAACAGCAAGGCTGGTGTGGCTTCTGCAATTGGGGGGCATGCACAGCAAATGGCAAGGCCATTAGAGAGCATACAGGTAGTCCACAACTTACAACAGTTCATTTAGTGAGTGTTCAAAGTTGCAACAGCACTGAAAAAAGTGACGTATGGCCATTTTTCACAGTTATGATCATTACAGCATCCCCATGATCATATGACTCCATGATTCACTTAACAACTGCACTCACTTAACAAATGTGGCAAGAAAAGTCATAAAATGGAGCAAAACTCAACAAATTTCTCACTTAGCAATATACATTTTGGGCTCAATTGTGGTTGTAAGTTGGAGAATACCTGTACTTGCAAACTATCCTTTTCTATATACGTCAATCCATATATTATCTTTGTTCTTTAAAATTCTAACATCTCTTTGAGGATGTCATCAACTATATCCAACAGCAACTTTCTCAATCTTCTTCCTCTCAAATCACTCGCTATTTTTTTTTTGTATCCTACCTTTATTACTTTTACAAATAAGGTGATGAATATATCCAATATACCTTCTTCCTCCTATTTTCTCCCAACAATCCTCCAAAGTGAATTGGACTGAGAGAGTGTGACTGGCCCAAGGTCCCCAGCTAGTGTTCAATATTAAGGTAGGAATAAAACTCAGTCTTTCCATTTCTATCCTGGTGCCTTAATCACTAGACCAAATTACTCATACACTCCTCGTTTAGGTACAGGGTGCAGGTTACCTTAAAGGCACATTTAATATTGGAACTGCCCAATATATTGATAGGGCTACCTTTGAGACATCTTTGCAAGGACGTAACTGTATG